CATCAGCACACTTAGGATACTTGATCCTATGCTGATCTCACTCAGCTGGTTTGTGTAACTATTAAATAAGATTGGGTAAAACGAAGAACTCTATGGGACCTTGCAAAGTGGGACCTGAGAGACCAAGGAAGGATAGGATAGATGCATCACTTTTATCCCAGTCCTGCTAGAGGTGATCCATAAATATGATTAATGGCATCCTGTATTATACCTAGGGCGGAACACTATGAAAAGGACCTCCAAAGCTGCAGCTTAACCAACTCCCCCAAAAGACAAATTGTTTAGTGCTGTTGGATACAGTAACCACTTCTAGACTGAGGAGTTTTTTGTCATGACTAAAATCTTAAGTTTGTGCTCTATCCTCTTTCAGCAATATCATTTAACCTTCAGTAGGTCCTTTGAAAATCAGGCTCTCTGGAACTAAGCCACATAGGCACAATGTGATCCAAGGTGATCCACTCAATCCAAAGTGGCAATTAAGGCCTCAGTTAAACCACTAATCAGAAACTCAGAAACAAACTCAAGTTCCCTCTGAAATCCACAGGGATCCATAAAGCTTTCATAGGAATGAGGTGGAATCCAAGTGTTGGTTGTTGCCTAAAAGTATGAGTTCAAGAATATGCTAGCTGGGTGAAGTGAAGCATTTAATGTGTGCATTAAAACACGTGGTGCTTTTTCTCATTTTTAGAGGTTTTTATGTCTTCCTCTTTACAATAACTTACACAAAATGGAACATGTTTGTACGTGCCTGTATACATACACTGTGCATTTGTATTTCCAACACTATACTGTCCCATTCATAAGAATCAAGGCTTCAGTTGAATTTGTATACTGTATTTTAAAAGCTGCTAGTGATATATATGCCTTTTGTGAATAGATTCTTTATTGCTTATCTATTGTAGAAGATGTAATGCAGCAACTACTCTATTGCTGCATTACATGGAAGATATTCAGCATTATGTGGTTTCATGAACTAAAATAATTTTTATTTGTTACTTGACCTCCATCAATTAGTATACTGTAAATGGCTAAGTATTTGCATGATTACATAGTGTTAAAGTCCACCCATCTTAAAGTTGTTAATTTTGAAGAACACCAGTCTAAACCCAGCACAACGAACTGACTCTCTTTCCCTCTCTAAGGCTCAGCGGCGTTTTGCTTTCAATCAATGAAACGTCTAGGTAGATTAGAGCGAATCAGCGTCGAGGGAAGGAGGGGTATTCTGCGCGCGCGGCTTCAGCCTAAAGAAGGCCGGATCTTCCTTGTCGCATACCCGTACGGGGTTTGATGACGTCTAATTCTTGCGTCCTCAACATGCTGCGCGTTTCGGGGCTGGGGTGGACTCTGGTCTCCTTGCAAGCAAGGGGCGCTCTGGTGCTGCAGGTGAGGGGCGCCTGCCTGGAGGCGATGCCAAGCTGACTTGGTTTACTAGCAGGGGTCCTGCTTGTGGTCTGGTTTCATCCAGGTCCCTAAGACTAGAGCAGGTTGCCACGTTCATTTTTATAGGCGGAGACCCCTTTACTTTAAAACTACAGGCTTGCACGCGTGGGAACTTAGCGAGAGGGACTTCCCTATTTCTGCCTGCGATTCAATTTTCACTTTTTTTTTAAATTTCCCAAGACTGCTTTTGTTAATCTTTGTTTGTATAGAATGGCAGGATATAAATTAGTTTGGTGTAGTGATTAAGATACCAGGCTAGAAATTGGCCGGCTCGGAGTTTTAGTCCCCGCCTTGGGCATAAAGCCAGCTGGATGATTTTGGGCCAGTCCTCTCACTCTTCTCTCTCAGTTCCAGGGAGAATGCAAACCACTTCCGAAAAATCTTACCAAGAAAACCGCAGGAACTTGTCTAGTCAGTCACCCGGAATCAAGGCTGACTCGAAGGCACGATCAGTCAATTTAGTGACTCTCTAATAGGGCTTATTTGAAATTGGAAGATCTGGAAGTAGTAATTCATGTCCTCATCATCTCAAGGGTGGACGTATGCTTTTCTTAGGGCTGCCCTTGAAAACTATTTGAAAACTGCAATTGGTGCAGAATTATTGGCAATTTACTGGCAAGTAAGAGCTGCTACAGTCACATGACATCAGTTCTATGCTGCATTGACTTATGCCCATGTTAGTTTTAACCTGTAAACCTTGAATAGCTTGAGTTAGCAGGTTTCTCTAGGACCACCTCCATCAAATTGGATCTGCCCATGAATAAAGGCAAATATATATATGTGTCCCTGGATAATGCTGGGTCAGTCACTGGGACTAGTGGTTTACTCTTCCTTGGTAAAAAAGTAAACTTACGGTCCCTTTGACTGACCCAGGTAGGACCTTCAATCTTCCCACCCCATGTGAACACTAAGAGAAAGGAGCCTTCTCTCTGATAGGTTGCAGGTAGTCCTTTTCAACAGTTGCTTCTACTCTAGAAAACTTTCCCTCCAAAAGTGCAAATGGCCCATACTATGTTATTCTTTAGAAAAGTAGTAGAAACTGTATATTTTTGAAAAGGAGCTTTGGAGGTTGATTTGTATATTATCTGTTCAGGAAAGGGCTCATTGAAGTAGGATGTTTTATTGCAGAATTGTGTGTTACAGTTTTTAACCTATTATTAAATATATTGTAATTTTGTAAATGTTGTATTTTGTATTGTAAACTTCTTAGGGTAGTTTATTACAAACATCATAATAAAAGAATAGAAGTTTGTTCCCATACTCTTAAACTTCAGATTGTTGGGGAAACCGAGAGGTTTCTTTCATGCTTCCAAAGTCAGTTTGGCACTATGGACTACATATCTGCCTTCTTCATTCCTTCAACATCTGAGAAGAGCAACTCTTTTCTGTATGTTCTCACCAGATCATAAGACTGCCTTGCTACAGGTGAATTAGTACCTGCACATTCTCTTTGGGAATAGGCCTTCCCCAACAGAACTTTGTCAAACTTAGAATTCTGGTTTTATGTTTCTCTGCTAGAGATCATTTCTAGTAAGTTCAGTGGAATTGACTCCCAAGTGACTGTATGGGATCACTCTCTAATTCTTCTGCTTCATTTTGCCATACACAAATGGGTCAGTGGGAACTTCAAACCTTTTCATTTTGTTTTTCCCTCCTATAGCAATGGCATTTGCCTCGTTTCCTTCATGCTGGCATTCCTGTCCTGGCAGCAAAAGAAGTGCTGATGAAACTTAGGAAGAAAACTGGCTATTCCTTTGTGAACTGCAAGAAAGCCTTGGAAAAATATGATGATAATTTTGAAGAAGTAAGAATAATTTTTGTGTGTGTGACATTGTAACCCATATCTTTCCTTTTCTCATTCTTTCTTCTATCAACATGCTGCTTCCAGGTTCCAAAATCTTCTTTTAAAATATGAGTAACAGTTTTTGTTTTAAAGCAGCAGTGTTGTGCTTGCTGACTAAATGGTAAATCCTATTGACATTAGAGAATTTAGGCTGGAGTGAATGTAATTAAATCTGTAGTGACCCTTGTTTTTTCTTGCCTTGAAAATCCATCCATACTTTTATAAGCAAACGACTTATAAAGTCACATTTTTGTATATTTTCTGTAAAACTGACAACCTTTATACAGATAAAGTGTGAGCAGGCAGGGAAATGCTCAGATATAGAACCACCCACTGCTGTTCCTGCTGCTCTGAAAATAACATACATGGAAAAACCTGAAATGTGATCAAGGAACATTCCAGTGATTTTCTAACTTTCTGTTTACAAAGCATCTTTGAAATACTTCAAAGATCTATTTACCATTTTTGTAGAAGTATAATGAGAGAATACATTTGTTTTTATTTATTTATTTAGTGTATGGCGCATCATAAACAGACTAGCAATGTATATTAACATTTCACTTAGATAAGTAAAAGGTTAAAAAGATCTGTATTAACAGTTTGAAAACATTGGCTCATGAATCTGCTAAGCCCTCGACATTGATTTGGCAAATTCAAATAATATTCCCATCTCTCCTGTCATTTGGGCCTGAAAAGGTTCATTTTTTGTTTTTCATTGTCATGTATTTTGATAGCCAGGAAAGTCTACAGAAAAGTCTGGCTGCCAGAAATTGCTAGTTCGTTTAGTTCACACTGTCACACTATCCAGGGTGTACCATGAGGAGATGAACTAATCTCATACCCTAATCTAATATCTAATACTCCCTCAATTAAACAACATCTCTGGGGAATACGGGAAATGGGTATTCTTTGTCATGGTGCTGCCCTCTTGGAACATTATTACTGCCAAGATTTATATATTCCCCCTCCAGGGCCTTTTTAAGTGAGCTCTTAATACCTGAGTCTGTCTCTAGGTCAGGAGTTAGAATGAGTGGTAGCTCCCTTTGTTTTGATGGTTTAAATTATGCTTGTTCTTCTCTAGTTTTGGCTTCTGGATTATATATCCTTTTCTCTATATATGTGTGTATGGGTGGATAGATAGATGAACGATTACATTATCTCTCATTCTGGGGCTTGTCTTCAAAGGCTGAAATCTGGCTGCACGAACAAGCACAGAAGGAGGGATGGAACAGAGCATTGAAACTTCAAGGTCGGAAGACAAAAGAAGGTCTAATAGGGGTGCTTCAAGAAGGTAGCTCAGCAGTAATGGTAGAGGTGAGTCTTTCCTTTGAAGATTTGTTGGCCTACAGGCTGATTATGAAGGCCCTGTTTTCTCCCCCCCCCCCCCGGAATTGGAGCCAGAATGTTTACAAAGATGGCATGAGGTGATTGGTGGGTGGATGGATATTTTTTATCAGGGCCTCAGTGCAATTTATTGTTTTAAGTAGATTTATTGAAGTGTACTTTTGTTCAGAATTTTTTTTGGCAGATGGGCTACTAGATAAATTGGTTTAAATAAATAAATATTAGACATCTTGGAGCAAGAATGGTTATATGGGAACTATATGGGGATATGCTTCCCTTTGACAACTGTATAGATCTGCTCTGCCTTGAACATGGTGTTCTTTGATGTTTTGGCCTATGACTCTCTTTGAAAGGGGTCTTCAAAATGTTCTACATTTGAACATTTAAAACGGTCTGCCTCAAAGTTATCTAGGTAGTGAGTTCAAAATGAACTATGTCAAACTTAAATTACTGCTTCCAGAACAGCCTATTTGAAATTCACGATGGGATAATGCACCACTGTTTTCTGACCACAGGCAGCAGGACTAGTGATCAAGGATAGCAAGAAGTGAACATTTGCATGATAGTTTGCTGTAATTCCTAAAAGCCCCCTTAGGTATAAGCTTGGAAGCAAGTGTTCTCTTGAAAAGCCACTTTGTTTATGTTTCCACGTAACACTATAAACATAAATACTTGCTTTTGAGCCTGCTGAGGCAATGTGGGAAATATTCCTGATCTTTCCCAGATTCAAACCTCAGGAAATCTAATTTATCTAAAATATGGGTCAGTTCACCGGTCAGAGGTTTTAAATACATGGCGTGTTTAACTTCCTGGGTTTTCCCCTTTGTTTTTTGTTTTTTTTTGTTTTGTTTTTATTGAGCAATACTGGCATTGAATGACATGATGCTGCTTAGAGTCTGTGTCAAAGACAAAGAAATATTTGCAATAGTTTGGCAGCTGTTTTCATTTTCTTTTAGTCTTGGGGGAACAGGCATTAGAGTACTAAGGATCCTTTTAGCAACCATTTTACATCCAGTTCTTGTTAGACTAGCACAAACCTTACAGCAGTGGGGCTGCTTTTAGAAGTAGGTCCAATATTAAGCTAATAATTAACTAATTATTTTGAACACGCAATAAACAGAGAGCTGCTTTTTGACATTCAAGTGTACACAAAGCAACAGTTAGCTGATCCATTGTAGTTTAGAATACAGAATATTCTTACAGGGTAAGGAAGAGAGAAGAATGCTGTTGTCAGATTACCAAAAAGTTAGGATCTCACTTTCACCCAGCCCTGGACTTTGGGAACATCTCAGTGTCTAGCTCTATTTTAACCTCTTTAGCAATATAACTGGTGGTGAGATATTTCTAAGTTACCCCTGCTTTTCTGCCAGGTAAACTGTGAGACCGATTTTGTGGCCCAAAATGTTAAATTTCAACAGCTGGTTCAGCAAGTAGCGATTGGAACAATGATTCACCATAAGGAGACCATAGACCAATCAAACACATATGCTAAGGTAAGAATGATATACACACACATGTATGTACAAACAATATCTGGTAATTTTGAAGAATTTGATACTAACGTTGCATTTAAATCTTCTTGCCGGCTGGTTCTTAAGGGGCACCTTCAAACAAAATTCTAGTTGGGCACTTAAAAATGTAGGAGATGTCAAAGGTAATTTTTTAGGTGGGGGCTGGCCAACATGGCACACGAGACTTAGCCTAAGAAACCAGTGCATTGCTGATCAGAAATAGGTATGTATTCCCCATACTAAGTGATACTAAGGTATCTCTCAGAAGTGCCTGCAGAAATGCAATGATTCTTTGGTATTAAATCCTTAAGAAAAATTGCCTCACAGCTCATACCTTGCATCCACTAAGCAAATGAGTGTCTGACATTTATTTATTGACATTTTTGTATATTGCTGTATTGTGAGAAAACCTAGAGTAATTTAGGCCTTTTCCTTGTTCACAATCATCTTAGCATGAATCCACCATTCTCTGTTTTATCTGTGTCTCAAATGTGTCTCAAAAGCTCTGGCGCATGTTCAACTCAATGGTGTATTAAATTCTCCAGAAAGCCTAAGAGCTTTACACTCTAGGACAGGGATGGCTCACCTTTTCCATGGCAAGTATCCATGATTGACATCTTTTGGTGGGGGTGATGGTCATAGTATATGGAGCAATGATGCAAAATGAACAGAATTTCTGTATAAAATGTTCTATTTGGGGAAGTTGAAAGGGCTTTTGTTGTTGTGGTTTTCTTTTTGAGTTGTGTGAAGAGTATCTTAAAATACACAGTTTTCACATGCTGCTTACCTCAAAATGCTATAAAGCATGCCACTCCTGTCAAAATCCAGCAGTGAAACCAAAGGGAGCTCTAGTTTTCATAGGCTACACATGCTTCTGTGTCTGTAGGCTCCTTACCTTTGCTGTAGAAAAAAATTAAAAGAGTTGTTGAAGTAGTGAAGCTGCAGAGAATTCTTTCTTGGTTTCTCAATGTCAGTTTGCGCCTCTTTAGATACTTGTTGCTAAGCATATGCAAGTGAGATTTTGAAAGATGCTTGGTTAATGAAGCAAACCTTAGTGCTCATTTTCCTTGCAACTTTTTTTTCTTTGGGGGGCATAATTATACTACATCCTGTGTTTGTGTTAGTCTCCTGTAAAATTTGCCATATTGCAGCAATAGCTAGGAGGACTTTTTAGCATCTCCCTATCCAGAGCACAGGTCTTGCATATGAACTTTATTGCATAATCAGCTTCTTACAGGCAAATGGATGGGGTGTCCTGATCCTGCACACAAACCTTGCTTGTGCATTAACATTCCTTTGCAAAGTCCGGTGAGATGGCGATCAGAGCAGCTACTTGAGCAACTGGGCTAAAAATGCAGCCTCAGTCCTCAGCCACAAAAACCTTCCCTTCAAAAAACACCTCAGCTGAGCTGAGGCCCTGGTAAATATAGACTCCCCAGCATCATTCTTGATAATGAGATGAGTGGCATCAGGGCTTTTTTTCTCATAGAATGCCCAGAACGGAGTTCCGGCACCTTTTTTGGATGGAACCTTGTAGGGTAGGCAAGGCAGGTTGTATGACGAGTGTAAGTTCTGGCACCTTTTTTTTTTTTTTTTAGAAAAAAAGCACTGAGTGGCATATACATTTAATAAAAGTAAATATGGGTAATTCTGAAGGTCTCTGGTATATGAAACTGTGTTTTTGGCCTCTTCATGAGGCAGTTTATTTTATAATGAGCTTATTCTTCTCATTTTTATAGTTAGGAATTAGAAGTTGTCGGGGAAAGTGCAGAATTTTCACACATCATCTGTGTTCAGTGAAGTGAAAAGATATCTAACAGCATGTCTCAAAGGCTCTGGAAATTGTTGCCACTTTTGATAGTGGTTAATGGCCATCTTGTATTTTTATTGGATGTCCTGTCACCATCCCAATCAAAAACTGGGCTAGAATGAAGGAGGGTTCCTTAGTAATTCTGTTGCACATTGCCTTCAGGGAAAAGAATAGCACCTACAAGTCAATTTCCTCCCTCAAATGCTTATCCATGAATGTCGTTAGACTTATGTATTTTAAATTAATTTACTTTTTAAAAAAAATGGTTCCAGTATATTACACTACATCAGGGGTCTTCAAACTTTGCCCTTTTATGACTTGTGGACTTCAGCTCCCAGAATTCCTCAGCCAGTGTGCCTGGCTGAGGAATTCTGGGAATTGAAGTCCACAAGTCATAAAGGGGCCAGGTTTGAAGACCCCTGCACTACATTAACTAGATAGCAGGTGGTCTTTTAAGACAATTAAATACATTTTAAGTTAAATAACTTTTACAAACCAGTAGCTGACAATTTCTGAAGCTTTCTAGATACGATTTGCTACAAGAGCACAACAGTCCTATGAAACAGTCCTATTTCTATTTGCGGGTGGCAAATTGAATGGGTTTGATGAAAGAGAAATACAACAAGACAATACAATAGAAGCCTTTTATTGATGTTGCTTGGGCACTGGATTACTGCTTCTTGCTGACATTTTGCTGCTGATGTGGTTTGCACCTTTCTCTTCACTCCATTTTTGTTATTCCAAATTCCTTACCATGTCAGAAGAAAAGCAATGCATATTGCCCAGTCGCTAAAACGAACCAGTCACTGGATTTACTTGGCAGGCTTTCATTAAAAAAATTAATTGACACCATGTTTGAATGTTTTGTAGCGTCTCTTAAATTCTGATGAGCTTTCTCAAGTCAGGACAGGACCAGAAGGATCATTGCTTACTGACCAACTTGCTCTGGCGATAGGTGAGTGTTTGGGGCCCAGTAATAGCCAGCAGTAGTCAGAAGGGAGGGGCAACAATTTCCTGTTTGCATGCACTGTTTTTTGCCTTTTCAATGGATGGAATTTATGATAGATGGACAGACATAATACCGCGTTTCCTTGAAAGTAAGACCTATCCTGAAAATAAGCCCTAGCTTGATTTTTTGGGGTGGGCCTAATATAAGCCCTACCCCAAAAGTAAGCCCTAGTTTTGGGGCATGGCGCACACCTAAAAATCAAGCTAGGGTGGAGGTGGGGGGAGTGGAGCTGTCTCACGTGCCCTGTTTCTGCTTACCGTTGCAGCCAGACCTCCTGTGAATCGACTCCTGCCTCGCCTCTCCGGCCCACTTCTTCTGCACCTTTAGTGGTTCACACTGTTCTCTCTGCTCCCTCTCTCCCCCCCCCCACCACCACATTTTAACTTTTTTAAAACTTTCTTTTTTCTTTTAAAGGCAAACTTGGTGAGAACATGGTTGTTAAGAGGGCAGCATGCATATCAGTGCCTGAGAATTTCTTCATCGGCTCTTACGTACACGGGTCACCCTCAGAAAGCAGCTCGTTGCTTTCCAACATGTTATTTGGCAGATATGGTGCCATGGTGATCTGCAGTTCCTCGGAGGAAGACCCAAAGTCCGACATGACGGAAATGAGTAGGAGGCTGGCCCAGCATGTGGTAGGTATGGCCCCTCTCTCTGTGGGCTCTCTGGAAGACGAACCTGGAGACGAATCCGAAACAAAGATGCTTGCCCAGCCGTACGTTTTGGAGCCAACTATTTCCTTGGGACAATACCTTCAGCCGACTGGTGTATCTGTGTTGGATTTTGTGCGATTCGCATGTGGAGAAGATCCAGAGTTGTCCGAATTGAGCTAGTTCCCAATTCCGCTTGGGCTTGGGAGCGATTCACAGAAGTAGCTGGTAATGCCAGTAATGCTATGTCTAAAGCCGAGAATGGAAAACGTTGAATGTCTTTCGAAAACTCAGAAATGGCTTTTGTGGAATGTGACCGACAAAATATGGCAGACAGATGTTAATGTAACAAATAAAGTATGAGTTTTAGTAATAGTAATGGCAAATGTATGAGGGTTGTGGCCTCTGATTCAAGCCTGTCATATTGTTCGCAGTTTTCCGAAATGTGACAAATCTGTTTTTATTTTCTGTAAATGAAATCAATAGGATTCTTTGAAACTTACTGTCAGCAAACGGCATATGTCTTTTGCATACCTTTAAAGCTTGTAACCAGAGTGACAGAATATGTATTTTACTGAGTAGTTAATAACTCGTACTATCCTGATTAATGACGTGTCTGTGAAGAAGTAAAATAAGAACAGTAAAGGATTCATGAGGGGGGAGGAAAGGGTGGATTTCTCTGAATGCCAGTGACAAGTTGAGATTGCGACTGACAGTCATCTGGAAAACACCAAATGAGAGAATTCTCTGTGAGGTAAATGGCTGAATCACGAGGAACAGAAATTCCTCATACCCCTTGGAAACTTCTGCAGCCCCTTCTCAGATGAGCACAGGAACAACCATCCTCAGTTGTAATGTGTTGACAGTGAAGACTAGAATTGCCACCTTGCTTCTATTCAAGTCAGTTGTTAAGTCCCTTTAATGTAGTTACTACCAATAGGTAAACTAAAGTCTTAGATTTTTCTTGCCTTGCATCCTCTGTGTCTGAAAGTGTCTGGATTAGCAGCGGTGGGGCATTGTAGTTGCCGTTCACCAGAAGAATGGCTCTTCTGCAAGAGTTTGTGCTTAGGAATTTGTTGTAAACTATGCCTGATCATTAGTAATTGGAAGCATATCAGGGAAAAAAAGCATTGCAGACTTATTAGAGATTGCTCAAGTCAAAGCTAGAGGAGAGATTGTAGAAGATTGCACTAAGTTAAGGTAAATTGGGCTTTTAGTATATATTCTTGTTCTTGGATAAACCTTGCTAGATGGCAATCAATGCTATAGAACAGGGGTCTTCAAACTTGGCAACTTTAAGACTTGTGGACTTCAACTCCCAGAATTCCTCAGCCAGCCCTCACCCTAATCCTAACCCTCACCCTCAGGGCTGGCTGAAGAATTCTGGGAGTTGAAGTCCACAAGTCTTAAAGTTGCCAAGTTTGAAGACTCTTGCTATAGATGACAGGTTCTGAAACTGTTAAGAGCAACTTAGAGGAGAGTTGCAATATTTTTTTTTTCAAAATAAAAATACAGTATATGTATCTTGTCAAGAAACATTAGTTTATTCCAGTGGTGGTGAACCTATGGCACGGGTGCCAGAGGCGGCACTCAGAGCCCTCTCTGTGGGCACACGTTCCGTCGCCCCCGTCCTAGGCCTTCAGCTGGGTTTTATAAAACCTTTTCACTTTAGGCCTCCACTGCCATGTGCAAAAAAAAAAAAAAAAGGTTCAATCAGTCAATTTCAACTTCTCGCAGGAAAAAAAAAGATCTTGCAAAGTTGGAATTGATTGATTGAACTTTTTAGTCCCATCCAGTCTGCCATTACCACCGCAGCCACACCCACCCAAATGGCCACACCCACCCGGCACCCAACATGCATAAGTGGGTTTTGGGTTGCAGTTTGGGCACTCGCTCTCTAAAAGGCTTGCCATCACTGGCTTATTCCATTATTTAATTTTCAAGGCTTTACATCTGGCTTTTCCTTCAGGGGCTTAATGTGGCAATATTTAAGAGCCGTGGTGGTGCAATAGTTAGAATTCAGTATTGCATGCTAACTGCCAGGAGTTTGATCTTGACTGGCTCAGGGTTGACTCAGCCTTCCATCCTTCCAAGTTTGGTAAAATGAGGACCCAGATTGTTGGGGAACAATATACTGACTCTGTAAACCGCTTAGAGAGGGCTGTAAAGCACTATGAAGTGGTATACAAGTGCTATTGCTAATGTATAATTTGATGTAGGTTAAACTGAGAATAAGTGCCTGGCCCACAGAGTGAAATCCGGTCATTAAAAACAGTCAATACGCTTATTTCTTGCCCAGCCCTAACCTCAAAACAACGGTTAGTTTTATTCATGGGTAATACAAATTCATGTATCATTTCAAAAGGTGCAAGGACAAGAACAGTCGCTGTTTATAAACTTCTGAAATGAAACATCTATAATCCAGGGCCTTTTGTATGCAACCTTGAAGTAGATGGAGAGTCTGTGACTCGCTGGATAGCCTCAGATGCCCATCCATCCCAACCAGCATAATCATTAGGAATAATGGGAGCTGTGATCCAAGAATGCCTGAAAGGCCACCCTTTCACAGTTCTAATACGAGTAGTTCTCAGTTTGCAACAGTTCATTTAGCGACAGTTCAAAGTTACAACGGCACTGAAAAAAGTGACTTATGAGTGTTTTTCACACGACCACTGCAGCATCCCCATGGTCGCGTGACCAAAATTCAGACGCTCGGCAACTGACTCGGGACAGTTGCAGTGTCCCATGGTCATGTGGTCCCCGTCTGACAGGCAAAGCCAGATTCACTTAACAACCGTGTTACTAACTTTTAACGACTGCAGCGATTCACTTAATGACTATGGCAAAAACAACAACACAATAATAAAACGGAGCAAAATTCCCTTAACAAATGTCTCATTTAGCAAAAGGCACTTTGGGCTCCATTGTGGTCGTAAGTTGAGGACTACCTGTATTCCTCGAAAGTAGATAGGAGTCAGAGCACATCAGGCACTATTCACACGTTTAATGATGACCATTGAGCAGTACATGCTTATGTCTGATTTTTGAACAAAGTAGCAGGCCTGCCAAGCAGCTTGGGGCTCCAGGGGGTCAACCCAGTTGCTATTTATAGAGTACATATTTGCCAAAAGCACAGCACCAATTCCTGGTGGGTCTGCTGAGTTTCAGCAATTCAGCAATTCAATTTACTTCACAAGCAGTGACTCTTTAGAGAGTGGGTAATTGATGACAGCAGGGAGAATAAACTTCCAGGACGGCAGCAGCAGCCCTTAATACATGAAAACAACTTTCTGAATGTATTTTGGCCCTATATGGATACGCTCTTAAAAGAAAGATAGCTCCCAAAGGAAGCTGCTTCTGGACTTGGCTTCTTCTCCAAAGCAAGAGAAACCCAAGAAAGATGGTTCCCCTTTTTCGAGTTTGATAAATGCCACGTTTTTTTCCCCCCTCAGAAAAGACCCCTTTCTTTTTTCATGTGAAGTTGCTTCCAAGTAGGGAGGACAATGAACTTTTCCCGGGGGATTCCAAAGACTCTCATAAAATCATCATCTGACAGGAAATTCTATGGATGGGGAAAAAACAAGAGATGAGTAAGAAGGATGAGGCAGGAGCAGAGTGTAGAAACAGTGGGATTTCTCCCAATTCAGTTAAAAATATTAATTCTACAGATCCCACCAGACTAAATCAATCATGCCAATTGCTTTTAAGAGATTTATTTTGATGGCAGGAAGAAACCACACTGGATAGTTTATCCGACTGAAGCGTAAAGGGCTTACCGCACTGAACATTATGCACTGAAAAACATTTAATTGATGCCATTTAGAATATGGTTGTCATGAGAAACCTCTGGCAAAGGACTAAAAAAATGGATTGATGCAGTGATAAAGGAATTAACACATGCTGTCCTAGTTACCTATCTGCAGGCTGACTATGTAAGAGGCAAAGAGAAAGCCTTCAATGAGAGAGTTAGAGTTAGAATCCTTTCTGATATGCTAATTTTGTAGATACATGAAATTTGGGGAGATATACTTGGCACTGGGTTGCAATTCAAGCTTATTTGTGGTGTGTGTGTGTGTGTGTGTGTGTGTGTGTGTGTGTGTGTGTTTTAAGTCAGGGTTTATCTCTTAATCTGCTGTTTATGACTTCAGAAGCCTGATACGTTACCAGGTTTAACTCAAAATATTTGGAGCTGGCTTGTACAGCCATGAGCATTAGGAATATACTACCTGCAAGTCTAAAATGATAATTCCTGCCCCTCACTTCTAAAGCAATATGCTTAAGGGAGGTCCTTATGGCATCTTTGAGACAAAGTCTGGTTACTCTTCTCAGCCCATGGCAAATGCTTGATAGGACTCACCTCCTTCTTAGCAGGATCCACATCTTCAGGTAAGTCCTCCAGACTGGAGAGCAAAACTTCTAGAGAATAGATTGGACTCTTGCTGCTGCTCACGATTTCAAGTCTGTCGTCCTAAACAGAGCACAGCAGATTCTTAAAAGCTTGTTGAAATTTTCATGTGGACCAGCCTTCTGGTATCCTCAAAAGAAATGGAACTACAATTCCCAGTCTTCCCTGCTAGACTGATTTTCCAAAACATATAGAGGTTGCTGGACTAAGCAGGACATTCCATAGCAGGAAAAAAGAGATATTTCTGGCCTCTCCAGATGCAGCCCTAGGTAACTATCAGTGGTAAATGATGCTGGAAATTGTAGCTAAACAAATGGAAGGCCATAGGTTCCCCATCCCTCTTCTAGGTTAATGTTTTCTGGTGCCTTCTTTTATCCTGTTGCAAAGATTTAGTCATATCTCATCGTTAAATACCAAATGCTTAATTTAAAGAGTAAGAATCACCTTTTCTACTCCATATCTGAAATGGTATAGGGCAGTGGTTCTCAACCTGTGGGTCGGGACCCCATTTGGGGTCGAACGACCATTTCACGGGGGTCGCCAAACAAGGCTGTCCGCCATTTTTTCCCCCTTTTCTTTGGCCACGCCCTGGCACCCGGTGATGTATAAGTGGTTGGGGGTCACCACAACATGGGGAACTGTATTATGGGGTCACGGCATTAGAAAGGTTGAGAACCACTGGTATAGGGTCTCCTGCTTGAGCAGGGGGCTGGACTAGAAGACCTCCAAAGTCCCTTACAGCTCTATTCTGATTGATTGATTGATTGATTGATTGATTGATGTTCCCACTGTTTTAGGTATGCAGTGTTTTTTTCCTGCTGATTCTCTGCTTCGGGAACAAGTTGTGCTTGATGCTGAGATTAAGCAGAACAGCTGGTCCCCAGTAAAGGTGTTTGGAAAAAAATAATGAATTGTGTAGGATGTTGTGGAAACCCTTCTCTGAAAATAGAGCCTTTGGCCTTAACAGGAGCTTTAAATTATTCTATCACTGCCACCATCTTTTAGCAGCACACAAGCTTAGAAACAGCTTTTGCACAGGCAACTCGAAAACATATCATCAATCCAAAGCCACCTTAACTGAGGTACTGAAGAGGCTAAGACAGTGGTTCTCAACCTTTTTAATGCCGCAACCCCCAACCGGTCGTAAGTCGAGGACTACTCAACCGGTCGTAAGTCGAGGACTACTCAACTGGTGCAGCACCGTTTGCAGAATGGGACTTTTGGCGGGCTCAGCAGGCCAGAGGCAGCCTGGACAATTCCTATCGGCTTTTGAAAGCCAATAGAATTAGACTCTATTCAAGAGAATCAATTTTATTGGCTTTCAAAAGCCAATAGAATAAAAGGGAGTAGCACAGCTAAGGAAAAGGGGGGGAAAATGGCGGACTGCTTGGCGACCCCCGTGAAATGGTTGTTCGACCCCAAATGGGGTCCCGACCCACAGGTTGAGAACCACTGGGCTAAGAGGAGATTTGTAGAGGAAGGTGAGCAAAAGTGGATTAGTCTGAGCCCAGTGTGCTGCATTGATTTATAAGGCTGCGGGGCAAAGTATCTACCGTAACATGGACCAAAGCCCCCAGGCAAATCAGTTTTTAAGTTTCCAGGATTTCCCATTTAAAGGATCTTAGGAAGCAGCTCCTGAGAGAGCCTCTCTGTCTGAGACCCTGGAGAGCTACTATAAAAAAATACAGGGATATATCAGAGGTGAAGAACATGTGTGCCTTTGGTATTACTGAATTGTAATTTCTAGTATCTTCCCATAATGCCTGTTATTGTTTGGGCACTGTGGTTTAGCAACTTCTGAAGGACCATTAGGTCTCCACCTCTGGGCTCATGGGCTCAGTGACTGGATATGACTGAAATACAGCAGCTTCCAATTTCTCGTCCGGGCAGTTGCTTAAAGTTGGGCAGAGGTTTTTCCAGAATAAGCAAACTAACTTACATCTGCGACTCTGATCATGTCGTTGGCATCTCTCAGTTCCTTCTTCAGCTGCTCGTAGGTCTTCCCTTCCTACAAAAACACAAAAGTCCATCATTTAAAGAGTTGTTAACACCAATTAAATAAGAGTGCTGGTAACTGAGTTTGTGATATGCACTGGGAAGTTGAAAAAAATCTATCTCCCAATCTGTACTGAACCCTGGTCATACCACACCAGTTCAAGGGGTGCTTTCAATGCCCTTCCTCCCAGTAAAGGGAATAGTCACTGAACAACTTCTGCCCTGACAGTCCCTTATTACAAGCGTATTGTAGTGGAATGATAAGAAGTATATTGACCCTAGGAATGTTCAGCATAGCTTGTATTATAGGCTGTGGAATAAATTATCTTTCCACATTAAATGGAGAAATTCTATATTCACCTAACAAAATTTGGATGTACAGGTACGTTTTCTAATACTAATAATACTCCGAGGGAGATGGCACGTTCTTAAATATGATAAATGGATAAAATAAATATTTGCAACATGAAATGTCTAAATTAAAAGGTTGTATACGGATGGCTTTTAATTAAATACTCCAGGGCTGATGTAATAATCCCCAGAGTTTCAGAAAATAAAGTATATTTTTAGGTATTCTGTAGCTTTCACTTACACTCCATTTGTTAGGATCCCAAGCCAGGAACCAGCCAGTGAAGTTGGGTGGTTCAAAACCTTGCTTAATCATTAGGATAGGAGTGTCAACCTCCCTCCCACTAGGATGGGTTTGCAGATACTCCTGAGCGGTTGCCAATGCCTCCTTCTTCTCAACTTCATTGGCTTCTTTGCCAACCCACATGAACACCTGGGGTGGGGGGGAAGGGGAGAAGAGCAGCAGTTTTCAAATAACCTGAGCAAAAGATGAGACTTTTAGCTTGGAAATGGTGAGAGTTTTAGGAACTCTTCTGCTGAAACAAGACTCCAACTAAACGTGAGTTTTATGACTAGTTTTATGACTAGTGTCAGTTGGAAGAGTCTATGGTAGTAAAAAAATCAGAAGAATCTGATTTTTATTTTTTCTAACACATTTTATTAACAGGCACAAGCTGTTATGAGTTGTAGCTCACATCAGCAGATGCATAGCTGGCCAGACTAAAACAGCATTTAAATAAGGAAGCGGTGAGGGGAATACAGGTTGGTTATAAAGGTTGGTTATCAAATGCAGATTACATATGAGACCAATTTCTAATATATCAGTTACCAATTGTGTTAAAATCCCATTGTGTTTGTTGAAACGTTGAGATAAATCACTAAGTGATCCTTTGGAAAAATAGCACAATTGAGTGGGAGCTTGCTGAACTCACAAACATCAAAAGAATTTAAGCTATATTTTTCCCCTCCCTTCCCCACCTCATTCCAATTAAAAGCCTACGTTTGTCTAGCTATCCCATGCTAAGATTGCAGGAAAATCTAGAGAGGCCACAAGTTCCTCATTCCCAGACAACAAAAATACTTTCCCCAAGTTTAATATTTTTCCAGTCAGGTGTCCGAATTTAGCTGAAGGGCCATCAGTCATGAATTCTCATGAAAGGAAATGGTAGTTGTTGCGTCCTTGGCGGAAAAACAGACACGAGAAGCAGCTGGAGTTCTCAGTTTCTTTATTCAGCGTTCAGCTTACAGGAAGATGGCTTCAGCCTCGCCCAACGCCTCGCAGCCTCTTATATAGGCAACTCCCGGGTAAATGGGTTACTTTTCCCGCGCCAGCACCCGCGCATGCGCACGGCGCTGGCGACAGCCTGTCTGGTCCCGGGCAGCCATACCAATCTTTGGCACCTTCCTTGACCTGCCGCAACTGCCCCCGTTTGCAAAGGCTCGGGACTAACACCCTTTCCCCCCGGGCTAAACTCCTACCAACATACAACATTATTTTATTATGACACCATTTTGCTCCCCAGGGCGCCACTGTTTACTGCCTTGCCTTGCCAGCAATGTTATGTTGGGTCTTCTAGTACTTGGGAGATTTCTTTGCTTCTCTGTGACCTTCTTAGCTCTGGTTACTAGGCCTAAGTCCCCTGACTGAGGTGAGGCCGTGCAGCCTTTTCTCTCTATGTTGTCCTGGTGTCTTCCAAGGACTGTGCCCCGAGGCCTGGCCTGCTTGCTTGCCCACCGGGCTCGTCAGGCCAGGGCTTCTGTTATTGTGTGACCTGGTTGACCTACCTAGCTGTAGACCCTCAGGCCCCTTGAAGTGATAGCCGCTGCTGGGCGTCTCTGTAGAACCTCCTAGGTCAGTCCAAGACCTGTCAGGAGGCTGTCCATTCCCTGAACCCCATTCTGTGTTCGGGCTCGTGTGGGTTTCTGTACTTTCCCAAAACTCAGGTGTTCCCTGATTTGTGCTAGGGTTGTTGTAGTCGGGACTTGGTTCCTCGACTAGCTCTGTGTATGTTTGACCCCCTGTAGGATTTGGGGTAAGGTCAGGCCAACCTTGGGAATTGTGTGCCAGTTCTCTTGCGGGGAATGATTTGTTGGGATGCCCCCGGGTATCCTCCGTTGCTGGAGTGCTGTGTGATGTGTGTGGAAAGTGAGTATGCCCCCGGGGTGACTCCCTGGCTGGAGTAGGCGTGGATGCCTGGTAGTTAGGTAAGCTCATGGAATTCCTGTTCGGAGCTCTCGCGGAACCCTGGGATGGGCCGTTTGTGGCTCCCTCAGTGGAGATGGGCAGCAGCTCGTGCCCTTCCCTTTGCTCCAAAGGGTCCCCCTCCCCCCCTGGAAAAGACCCAGGAGTCTCAGCAGAAAAGTCTCGCCTAGAGCGAAGTTGGTCGATGTGCCGACGCAGTGACACGACCGTTGTCCAGGGCAACCTCGTAGAGAGAGGACTGTGATCCTGGACACAGAAGCGGGGACCCATGTATGACCAGGCCCGTAATTGCGAGCCCAAACCGGGGCACCCACAAGTAGTCGTCTAGGTGCCCTAGGATGTGAGGTAGATGAAGGCAGTCTGTCCGGATGCAACCGGTCAAGTCTAGTAGTAAGTTGGCGCCCCCAACGAAGTTCAGCTGGACTTCTCCCTGTAGAAGTGGACGGTGTGGTGCGATAAGAAAGGAGAAAGTCAGCCAACCTGTGATGCCAGTCCCCGTAGGTGAGTCTCTTCAAGGCGTCCTTTGCGATGCGCACCATGCGTTCCGCCATACCGTTGGTGGACGGGTGAAAAGGCGCAGACGTGGCATGACGAATCAGGTTTGCCTGTAAGAAAGCTTGGAATTCGGAGGAGGTGAATTGAGGGCCGTTGTCGGACACAATGACATCTGGCAGCCCGTGTGCAGCAAAAATCCCCCTCAGTACCTGAATAGTCTTTGCAGTGGTGGTGGATGAGACAGGCACAACCTCAAGCCATTTTGAATGGCTGTCAACAAGGACCAAGAAGAACTGGCCCTGAAAGGGCCCAGCGTAGTCAATGTGCACCCTAGACCATGGGGACTGTGTTTCCTCCCATCTATGCACAGGAGCTTGGGGCATCTCTGGGCGAGATCGTTGGCACAGGTGGCATGCGTGTACCTTAGCCTCAATATCTTTATCTAAACCAGGCCACCACAAGTGGCTTCGTGCAAGAGCCTTCATACGAACAATGCCAGGATGACCCTCGTGGAGGGATTCTAAGACCCCTAGTCCTCATTGAGGTGGGAATGACAACTCTGTTTCCCCAAAGCAGACAACCCTGAGAAAGGGACAGTTCGTTCCTTTTGGACCAGAAACTCTGAAACTCAGGACTAGGGCAGTGCTCAGGCCACCCGGACAGGACCCAGGACGGACACGTGAAAGTGTGTGATCTGTACCTGTTTCAGCGGTAACATCCCTGGCACTAAGAGGAGCTCGGGCAAGGCTTGGATTGATAGAATGTTGACAGCTGGCGCGGGGTCAGCTCTACTACTGGCAGAGGCAATCTAATGAGGCCATCAGCATGGCCCATTTCTTTCCCAGGCTTGTGGAGTAATGAAAAATCATATGCAGACAAGAAAATAGACCACCTAAGCATTCTAGGGGAAATGATGTGGGGAGTCTGCTTACGTGTGGTAAACAGTCCCAGCAGAGGCTTATGGTCAGTGAAGACCGTGAAATGCCTGCCATATAGAAAATCGTGGAATTTTTTAATTCCAGCAACAACAGCCAGAGCCTCCCTGTCTATCTGAGCGTAGTTGCGCTCGGCAGAAGACAGTGTTCTGGAGTAGTATGCAATAGGAACCTGAGTTCCATCAGACCTGAGGTGACTCAGGACAGCTCCAACCCCGTAGGGGGACGCATCACAAGCGATGCACACAGGGAGAGACTCGTTGAAATGTGCAAGAACACTGTTAGAAGTGAGCAAGGCCTTGACTTCTTTAAAGCAAGCCTCATGTGCTTGTGACCACAGCCACACAGCTTGTTTGTCTAGTAGCCTGTGAAGAGGCTCAGCTACACTAGCTTTATGTGGAAGAAAAGAATTGTAGAAATTCAGGAGGCCTAGGAAGGCCTGAAGTTCGGCCTTAGACTTTGGCCTGGGTGCTTCTAAAATAGCAGTTAGTTTGGATTCAGCAGGATGAATCCCAGCAGCATCAATTTTGAATCCCAGAAATTCAGTAGAAGGCACCCCGATCTTGCATTTGTCTTTTCTGAGCTTGAGGCCTGATTCCCTGAATCTTAACAGGACAGCCCTAAGTCTTTCAGCTAGAATGTGTGTGGAGTCTCCTGCAATCAAGACATCGTCAAAGTAGGGGCAGACCCCTGGTATACCTCGTAGTGTGTTTTCCATTACGCTTTGGAAAATCCCAGGAGCGACATTTACTCCAAACTGTAGCCTTTTTACTTTAAAGGCTCCCCTGTGGGTCACAATGGTCTGAGCTATGGCAGCATCATCATCAACAGGCAGCTGTTGATATGCTTGAGCTAGGTCAAGCTTTGCAAAAACACGCCCCCCCTTGAGAGAGGCCAGGATGTGACTGACCACAGGAACAGGATAGGCATGTTGCTGCAATGCCTTATTGAGTGTGCATTTGTAATCAGCACAAATACGAATGTCCCCATTTGCCTTTAGAGGCGTGACAATGGGGGTCTCCCACGGGCTGGAATCAACAGGTTCTAGGATTCCCTGTTGGATTAGTTTGTCTAGTTCAGTGTCAATCTTACTTTTTAAAGCAAAAGGGACCCTTCTTGCTTTAATCCTAATGGGAGTGACAGTGGGGTCTAGCTTTAAGGACACAGGTGGTCCTTTGAATGTGCCCAGCTGGGGGCTGAAAACATCTGCAAATTCTTTGCAGACTTCCTGTAGGTCGAGTGTTTGTAAGCTGTTGAGTCCTGTGACGTGTATCCCCAGGGCCTCAAACCAATCGAGTCCTATGAGACTCGTTCGTTCACCCCCTACTACTAATAAGTCTAGTGGACCTTCAAAACTCTTGTATTGCACGTTAAGGGTGGCCTCCCCCTTAACACACACTCTTGAGTTCTGAAAATCTGTTAATACAATATCAGAAGGCCTTAACTTGGCCTTAGACCCACTACTGGAACAAATCTTCCTAAATGTATGCAATGAAATGATGGACAGGGCAGACCCTGTGTCTAGTTCCATAGATAATGGAACCCCTTGTAGCTTCACGTTGAGTGACAGCTTTTTCTTCATGGGCTTGTGTGTGCCTGTTCTACAGATGCTTCTTCGCGAAGCGCAAAACCCTACCCTATTCTGGCTGGGGAATCTGGTACCTTTCAGGCGTTCTTCTTGGGGTTGTGCCTTTCGTCGGCTCAGACACACAGCTGCAATATGCCCTTGTTTGCCGCATGCCCGGCAGGTAGCGGAGCGGAACTTGCAGTCGGTTCTCCTGTGGCGACCTCCACAGCCGATGCACTTGAGCAGAGCCGAAGAGCTTCCCTTCTGGTTCTCTTCCTTCGCGGGGTGTAGACGGTCGACTTCCTCGTCCGGATCCTCCTCGGAGTTTCGTCGGACGTCTTCCTGGTGCACGGACGCACCCTCTGCACTGTTTCTGATCGGCCGCATGTTTTTGATGGCGCCGCCTGCTGCTTCTTCTGCGGTGACTTCCCTTAAGGCGTCTTGGAAGGATAATTCTTCCTTGGCAAAAAGTCTCTGTTGTAGCTCTCGATGCCTTAGCCCGCACACGAATCGGTCCCTCAGTCGTTCCTCGAGGTCCTTGAACTCGCAGGGCTTGGCGGCCTTCCGTAGCGCGGCGATGTATTCCTTGGCTGTTTCACCGGACCGTTGATCCCTCTGCTCGAAGGTGTGGCGCCATGAGATAACGGACACCTTGGGGTGGAAGTGCTCTTTCAGCAGCTTCTTCAGGTCTGCGTAGCTTACAGACTCTACTGGAACAGGTGCTACAAGATTTTCTGCGATTTCGAAGGCGTCTTGGCCGCAAACGCAAAGCAGGGTGGCGGCCTTCAAGCTATCTTCCCTCACTTGGTTTGCCTTGAAGTAGTTCTCCATTCTGGATACGTAGGACTCCCACCGCTCTGGATGTGAGACGTCGAATTCCGAAAGCCTTCCGATTTTCGCCATCTTCGGATCTTCATCTTCAGGAGACGGGTCTATCAGCCAGCCTACCCCCGAATGCGCACCGGATTGGCGGGTAGCTGCCGAGTCGACGCCGTTCCTCTTCCGCCGCTCAGGACTCCTCGGGTAAGCTTACACTTCTTCCTTTTCAGGTAGTGCAAGGTATCCCATCCTCGTCGCCAGTGTTGCGTCCTTGGCGGAAAAACAGACACGAGAAGCAGCTGGAGTTCTCAGTTTCTTTATTCAGCGTTCAGCTTACAGGAAGATGGCTTCAGCCTCGCCCAACGCCTCGCAGCCTCTTATATAGGCAACTCCCGGGTAAATGGGTTACTTTTCCCGCGCCAGCACCCGCGCATGCGCACGGCGCTGGCGACAGCCTGTCTGGTCCCGGGCAGCTTTGCACCTGCCCGGGACTGCCTGCAAACGCCCGAGCCGTTTGCAAAGGCTCGGGACATAACAGTAGTCTTCTCTTAAACACAAGGAACAGGGCCATGTAATAATTCAAGTTCATTTCCAAAGAAGCAGCTCTAGAATGTGGAGATACACACATAGCTTGTGCCCACAACTCTTTGAAACAACATTTTTTTTTCTCTTCCTGAATCATTCCTGAATCCCTGAAGTGGGTGACATATGAATTTAATAAATACATAAGTAAAATCGTGGCGGCAGCAGCAGAGGGCAGCCATAAGGAAAAATATGGATGCTTTAAAGCAGGGGTAGTCAACCTTGGCTCTTTTATGACTCGTGGACTTCAACTCCCAGAATTCCTGACCAGCTGTCATAAAAGAGCCAAGGTTGACTACCCCTGCTTTAAAGAGTTGCAGACAGAGATTATCTTTGCCCTACCATGTACTTGAAAACATGGTTTGCATTGTCTGTATAGAAATTTCCTCAGTACGTCAAATTATAAGAGCTCTCCCCGCCTTCGTAGAGGCTACCAGCTGCTCATGTAACCTTTAGAAACACAAAAAACAGTGACAGTTAAACTAGTTACCAGGAAGGCAATGTGCCCGTGGCTATTTTCATTGTGTATCCTATTTGTCCTTCATGAAGCCTATGTCAGAGAAGCTGCTTTTGTTGTCTTAGAAGCTTAACAACATTTTGAGCATGAAAAGAGCCCTTCTGGGTCAGGCTAACATCTCATCCAGCCCAGCATTCCGTGTCACCAACAATGTTGTGTCCCGAGCCTGCAAAAGAAGGCTTGGGACGTTGCATTGGTCCCGGACATTCCAAAAGCTGCCCGGGACCAGACAGAGTGGTGCCAGCCTTGCGCGCATGCACATGGCGCGAAAAAGCTCTGTTTCGTTGGTTGACTTCGGGTTTCTGGCCATATAAAAAGACATGCGTGCCTTTTGTTTTTGTTTGGGTGTTGTTAGAAGGAGAATAAAGAGTTGTTCAACATCGCCATGTGTCTTCATCATTCGCACATGAACGAAGTATACAACAAACAACATGTTCAAAAATTCACACAAGGGTGCTAATCCTTTTCCACCCCCTTCCTAATAGCTGCCATTTAAGAACCGAGGCTGTCTGCTACTCAAGGTTGTACTGGGTACTTAAGTCTAATAGTCATTAAAGGCCTTCTCCATGATTTTGTGAGTCTCCTCAAGTCCATCCAAGCTAATAGTCATCAATATATCTTGTGACATGATGTCTTAGTTAAACAGAGGTACATTACCAAAGTTCCTTGCATTTAGCGTCAGTGGAGAGAAGCATGTTCTAGATGGAAATAATTGAACATTGGAATTAATGGTTTTGCTATTCTGCGTTTAGCTAAATTTTCACTTCAATCTCTAAACACATAAACTGTTTATGTGTCTATGTATGTATCTTCTATCTATCACCTATATTTTATGTATCTTAAGATATAACACAAGCCTCTAGTGCTAAAAGGAACTAAGGTGTCAAAAATTGCCTTTAACTCTCTAATATTAAACAAGACTAAAACATGAGGAAATCAGAGATATGAGCTACAGCACATCTAAAAAATGTTAGGTGCTCCCAAATATTACCTGGTCCCAAGTATCCAGCAGCATAACATCACTTTCACTCAGATCATCCTGGGTGAAGTCAGTTATCTCAATGACCACAAAGCGTCCAGTTTTGTTGGAGCATTCAAAAAGCCGTGGAGGATAATCAGGGATCTCTTGTTGCAGTCTGCAAGACAAAGATGGATTAGGTAACCTAGATCCTTCAAGATGGGCAACCACTGAGGTCGCTGAACTATCCCTGCAGATCCAACCAACCCTGCAAATAACGAGGGACACTGGGAGCATCCTCAACAACATCTGGAGAGCTAAGAATCCTCCACCCTTGCTCTAGATCTCACTTACAGAAGCTCCAAAATTATATGGATGGAGGCTGGATAACAAAGCCGCAGGTCAGCTGACTCTTTCCCTGACCTCTTTTATTTATATAAGGTTGTATATAGCAGAAATCTCCTCATGGATGAAATAGTTTACTACATCTGGGGGAAGCTTTTCACCCAGTGAAGCTTTTCTGCTTTCCTCAGGGTCCCTCAAGAAATCTGCTCTGATGGTCCTTCTTTTTATTAAGATCATTTTGGGTTGAACTCTAGTGGGAAGATCCTGCCAATGGAATCATTTTTGAAAAAAATCTCAATTCAGCTGTACTTTATACATTTCATCCCTTAGTTCTTGTTTTTCTTTTACCATTTATCCTTCAAAAGTGCTACCAAATCCTTAAAATCAATGCATCAGGTTTCCAGTAAAATACACCTAAATATTTGAGTTAGTGTACAAAGACACAAATTCAAACATCAAACATAAACATTAAGCGCAAAAAAATATTATACAGAGCATAATAATTAATAGCTACAGAAATAATTTCAGCTTATGAGTTAAAGGCCCCGTAAAATAAAAATGGCCTCTTTGGAAGACTTTACATTAGGCCAGGGGTAGGCAACCTTGGCTCTTTTATGAATTCTGGGAGTTGAAGTCCACGAGTCATAAAAGAGCCAAGGTTGCCTACCCCTGCACTAGGCTTAGTGAACAGGCTTAGTGAAGAAGACCAAAATATTTAATGATTGAGTTAGAAGTCATTACTTTTTATCACTTGAATAAGGGGCTTTGCCTCCGAGCAGCTCCCAAAATTCAGCCGGTTCTTGTCCCTCAGCCACAGTCTCCTGAAGTCCATCACAGATAATAGCAGCCAGCTCCTTAGCCATTTCTCGTTCATCTCCACTACAACCCTGCAGTGAAAACCACAGAACCACAGAAGCGGGGGGGGGGGGAAACCACAGAGAAGTAGAGCCATTGTTAGAAATACTATCCAATTTCATCTCTTCTCAGACTTTTTAAAATAAAAATCAATGAATTCTCCTCTTCCCTAAAAGCCTAGATTCTGCATGCCAAATAATCATTTTATTTTAATTGTGCATCTATGAATGTACACCCTTCCTTGTGATGTCAAAGTAGTAAAATAAAGGCCGTTGTCTTAAGGACTTGGAAATTAAGAGAAGGCTAATGTAAAAATTCTCTCCTCCTTCAACTTCTAAAGCTCTTGGTCTCACCTTGCCATACCACAGGTAATGGTCTCCCTGTGTCTTCAGCAAGAAGACATCATTGGAATTGAGAGAAGCAGCAGAAGCCAGCACCTCCACGGCTTTCCTGTTGAAGGTCTCTATTCCACGGATTTGGAAGAGCCTCACTGGAGGTTCCAGTTCATTTCTGTCTTTCCTGGATGTCCCGCCCTGCAGAGAATGTGACAAAAAGGAAGAACAAACCAACTTTGCTGCAAACCAAATTCGTGGTGCAAAAGGCACCCAATGGATGTTTGGACCTTCAACTCTCATCAGCTTTGGGTAGCACGGCTGATGGCAAAGGATTCTGGGAATTGTAGGCTGAAACATCTGGAAGATACCATGTAATTTAGACTTATATTACCAAGATCATCTGCAATTTCATAAGGTTAAAACTGGCTGAAAATTTTCATTTATCATGAGATCACTGGAAGACTTGCAGAACCAGGTTAGGTTATTCTGGAGAAAAATCTATGTAGTAACTAAGGATCAAAATTGACTTGATGGTACATAATCAATCAAAATTTAATAAAATATATTTCAGGATGGAATGATATTATGACTTTCAAAATTTTTCTGTGATAACTTATTTTCCAATGTCATTGGAATTATGCAAATTTGTCACCATATATGGAAGACAGATTCCATCCGTTTATTGCATTTCAGGGAAACAGAGCTGCTAATTTTAACAACTGTTAACTGGAATAACTATACTGATAGTAACCTATCTTATATCACTTCTCTCTGAGTATAATATTTGAAGAAAATGTAATACTTTCACTGTTCCCACTGCTCCATCTCTATTGGCATATTCAACTTCTGCATCCATTTAATCATATAATCTTTGACTTGTTCAGATTCTAAGACATATTTCACTATATACTGGGCTAACAAATGTTGAGTATTATGAATTGTAAGACTTTTCAGATTCTCAAAATTCCCTTTTGTTTTCCTAATTCTTTTGTTGCTCAGCTGCTTATTTGAAGGTATTGAAACCAATAAAGTGTGGTAGTGCACCAGGTAGCATAATAAAATCTTTTAATCTGAACAAATCATTGCCTTTCTACTTCTTCAGTATCTTCCTCATCATAGACATTCATAGGCAAGAAAGGAAAACTCTTGAGTTTATTCCTTTCCTGTATTTGTTCCAGGCATTCAATAAGTTACTTAATAAAAGAGTTGGAAGGGTCCTTGGAGGTCTTCTAGGCCAATCCCCTACTATTTCAGACAAATGGCTGTCCCATCTCTTCTTAAAAACCTCTGGTTTTGGAGCACCCACCACTTCTGAAGACAAGCCGTTCCACTGATTAATTGTTCTCACTGTCAGGAAATTTCTCCTTAGTTCTAAGCTTGTTCTCGCCTTGATTAATTTCCAACCATTGCTTCTTATTCTGCCACATGTAATCTCTTGAAAATAACTTATTTCTGTTTGTTTCAACCCAGATGGAAGACCTGCCTCTTTCACAGACATGACGAAACTAAAAGGACATAAGACGCATATCAACCAATATGACAATACAAGCCGAGGCCTTAGCAGAGGTTTTTACCCATACAATTCTCCCCCCCCCCCAATAATTGTTTCCCAAGAAACAATTGTTGCTATCTCTAAATCTCTTTTGGAACCTGAATGTCAGGGGCACCTAACTTGAGGCTAACTAAATCATTGCTTTTATACTGAGTGGTTTTTTTTCCACAGCTTCTGTCCAGGAGCAAAACAGAGTCAAATAGCAAACATAACAAGCTCATGATCCATAAAATGTCATCCGGTATTTCTCTCATGATCATTTTCAGAGAAGCCTAATGCTACCTAGAATTGCAGACTTTATTTGAAAAGGGATTGGATTTATTTTTATTTATTTGCTTGTGTGTTGCTGTTTTTTCCCCCAGGAGGAAAACTGAATCAAAACAAAAATGAAAGAATCCCACTGTCCGTTAAAAGTTACTCTGAAGCTAGCAGTCACAATTGTTTTGAGTTCAGACTTTAAGGAAAACTAACCCTCAAGTACAGATTTTCCACCTCAGAATGTTTTTTTTTCCCTGCAGCAAAAGTGAGATAAAATAGAAATATATGAGGCCCCCTGTACTTAAAAAGGCACCTCATTCTAATTGTCAAAAAGTTATTTCAAAGCCTTCTAATCCTAACTGTAGTAAGTTCAGAGTTTCCTCTGCATGGCTGTTTCCCATAGGTTTTCCACAGATGTAAAACTGAGTCAAAATAGAAAGGTAAAACACCCACTGTCACTCTTAAGGCATCCTGAATTTGTGACACTTGTTTTGATTCCAGACTTTGAAAAAAGTCTAACCCTAACCTAAGGGCTGATTTTCCCCTCCCCTCAATTTTTGCCCTAACTTTTCACTAAGGGCAAAATTAAAGATGCAACATGCAAATGTAAGAGTTCCACTTATTTTGTACTCCAAATGTAACATTCACACCATGTTATGAGCTCAGACCTCAGGGTATGTTAACCCTAATTATCTGGAGATTCTCTATTGAAATGTCTTTTCCCCCGTAGCTTTTGCCTTGAAGGAAAGGTGAGCAAAAAGGGAAATGTGAGATTCTTTCTGTTCAATATAAAAAAGCACGCCAACTCTAACCATCACAGTCCTTTGTCAGTCCCTAGACTTCAGGTGATCCTTACTCTAAGCGTTGCTGGCTGTGGAATTCTGGAGTTGAAGTCCTCATGCCTTAAAATTGTCAAGTTTGGGAAACACTGCTCTAAGCATAAGTACAAGGGTTTTTTTTTCTCAGAATATATTTGTCCCATAGTTTTTTTCCATGAGTAACACTAAGCAAAAAGAAAATGCAATATGCTCACTATACATACAATCTCAACCTGAATTTAAATGTCATGCTTGTTTTAAATTAGATTTCAGGGATTGCTAACTCTAGATCAGGGGTAGGCAACCTTGGCTCTTTTATGACGTGTGGACTTCAACTCCCAGAATTCCTGAGTCAGCATAGCTGGTTCACGAATTCTGGGTATTAAAGTCCACAAGTCATAAAAGAGCCAAGGTTGCCTATCCCTGCCCTAGATCTTATCTCAGATTCATTTTTTTCCATAGCTTTTCCGTAGGATAAAACTAAGCCCAAAAAACAACCCCAAAATGTCACAGGGGATAAACTGTCAACTCCAGTCTTACCATCCACTGCTTAAAAGCCATTGTCAAAATCAAATTAAATGAGTGTTGGCAGGCAATGTAATTAAAAATCACCCATCTGAATAAGTAGTTTGTGGGAGTTTCTAGCCAAGCTAAGGAAGTCCATCCTTATTATCCTGAATCAGACAAAATCTATTATTTTAAAGTATTATGTTAGGAAAAATCAGCTGCAGATGAGGTACATGTTTTTGTGCAGAATTATACTCCATAAATGGTCTCTAGGTTAAAAAAAAACCATTAACAGATTAGTTATTTAAATGCAAGGTTATTTTTTTTTACATTGAAGCATGCTCATAAATCTTAGTCTGCCTTTCCTCTATGAAAGGAATTATAATTATCAGTAAGATGCATAAGGTAGCCTTGTATCTTTTATCATCCACAGAGCCAATTCTGTGCACTTTTTTGAGAAAATGCTTAAGGAGAAAATTAGTGGTGAGAAGAAAAAAGTCAATCTTCTAGAATCTTTGAACTTTACATCACTGTCATTGTATACAAAAAGTGAGCCAGTCCTGATTATTGCATTTCCAGCAGTTTTTGAGCATGAATTATCTATTTTGGCAATCAGCTCGGTGGCAAACTTCCCCCCTTCCCATGAATAAACATCTTGCATCAATTTTCTCTGAGTGTCAGATCTGCAGTAAATGTAATATTCATCTTCTATGGGTATCGTCATTGCTGCATATCAAATGTTGTGTTTCCGTCCCTGATTTTTGTGGGAGAGCAGACACTGCATGATCCCATTTCCTACCTCAAAGATAACAAGCTTGCCTTTGAAGATGGCCAGGAAGTGACGTGGCTCCTTGCCCATATTCACTCGGACCTGCACAGGTTCCCCATTGAATTGCTGATCCATTTGCACGGCAAGATAAGCTGAGGCTGCAAGCTCATCCACTGTTGCATGGCGTCCCTGGACCCAGAGAAAACATCACATGGTTTAAGTTGGAAGGAACTGTAGCTGCAATTGTCATCTTACACCTACAGTACATTGGTTAAGAATTACCACTTGTATGTCTCATTAGCGGTCTTGGAATTAGACTGGAGAGATCTGGGTTTAAATCTTCATTTAGCCCTATAATCACTGGCTGATGGTAACATCAGGATCCCTCTGTCTAATCTACTTCACAAAACTTTTATGTAGGTAAAATCTCTACATGTCTATCTAAGCTTGTTATAGAGAGATTTGAATTCAGATTTTATAAGAGTAGCTACTAACACTTTGGATTAATTGCAAGAGATGATATAAATCTACTTCACAAGCAGATATAACATCCTTATTCCCAACTAGCTCTGACATTTCAGTTGTAAAACACTACGATGAGATGTCTGTGGAGAATCTCAGTCTCTATGATTTTATCATAGTTGAGACAACTATGATAAAATCAGCAAACTTGAAAAGGGTTGATCCAATTCTCTGTCCTCCCATCAGTTGTCTCAGTGAAATTCTGACATTTATCCTTATTTTTTCTCCTTTACTGCTAAAGACATGTGAGAGGTGGGGAGAGGATTAGAACAGGGCAAATGTCATGGTTCCAACAGATGAAACTCTTCAAAGAACTTTGAGGCATTGTTTACCTTAAAGAATCTTTATTCGAGAAGCATAACATCGGCACTAAGCTTCTTCCACTTTAAGTCAATTTAAATAGCCCTGTTGTGATAGGTTCATGTGTTATTACCCAAACAAAACCCACTTTTACCCAATTTGGGATAATTGGAATGAGCAATAAGTAAATCTTGAAATGTAGTTCAATTATATCAATTAAGGGCAATTCAGTCCTCATCTGAATTTAAAGAAATTGACCTGTTAAGAAGGTCTATGGAGTCATCCAGGTTATAGTTGTCCCAAAACCAACTGGACTTTTTTTGTTTTTTCCTTGAAGACATTTTGCTTCTCATCCCAGAAGCTTCTTTCATTCAAAGCAAGAATTGAAGAAGCTTTTTGGATGAGAAGAAAAATGTCCTCAAGGAAAAAACAAGAAAGCCCAGTTGCCTTTTGAAAAAGCACCTTTGGGATACCTGTGAAGAATTTACATCTGAGATTCTACACCTACCTGCCAAATGTAAAGTATGTAATGTGGCTTATTTTTCAATTCATAGGTATACAGGATTAAATAGCAATCTCCACCATAGAAAAATCCATGCCATTGTTTCTCCACTTGTACCAACTCCAGGTTCTCAATCCTCCAGACCTAGAGGTGATGAAACAAAGGATACATATAGCTGTTGTTGGAAAAAATGTGTAGCCTTCCCAACTTTTGACTTCTTGAGACAGTCCAGAATAATAATAATTATAATTATAATAACAACAACAACAACACAAGGCACTTGCTTTGTGGACTGGTAGTTGAAATGGATGCACAACCTTACCTACACCTGTTGACTAACTAACATGTCAAGACCCTCATAGGTATTATAGATATTTCCTATAGATCCTTACTTGCAATGAAAAATATGAAATGATAGGAAAATGTGAGATAGATAGAAATTAATGATAACTCTGTCTGGACTTTCAGTAAAAACCTGTGAAGAAGATAAATGTGTTTGCATATTAATAGTTTCATCTGGAAGCACAACAGATTCCGGCAGGCATATTTTTCACGCTTCCAACATTCTAGCATTTGTGACCTTACATATGTATAAGCACAGATATGGATCCCTCCAAATGTCAAAAGCTAAGAGACAAACACTCAGATTCTATAGTCAGTCTATATAATAGGAACGTAAAGGGGAGTCCCTGTGGATTTTACTCCACTGGTCGTTGCTGACTTTAGGGGTGGTGCTCATCTCCATTTCAAGGCCACTGAGACAGCACTATCCGAAGATCTTTCCATGGTCATGTGGTCAGCATGACATCACAGAGTGCTGTTACAGAGCTCAGAATATATAATGCCTGGCATCATGACGGTGCTATGTTGTCAAAACGGCATCTCTGTGCCTGCAGAATTTGCTACTTCCTATCAAGAAAATTCAATGTAAGAAACGGGGAAAAAAAGTTGGTTTATATTCGCAAGAAATTCAGCAGAGAAAATCCAGCTTCCACAGCAGAACAGAAATTGTAACTCTCACCTCAGCTTTTCCTTCCCCGTCATCTACCATCCTCTCCTGGGCTGCCAGCTGTGGCAAAGCATGCAAAGCCGCAACGTCAAATCCCTCCTGGCTCATCTTAGCTTGAAAAGGAAGGAGGGGATCATTTTAGTCCAGAGCTCTGTAAAGTGGAAAGCATGCTCTCACAGGAAGATGGGTGAAATTAAAGAAATCAAAAGCATTGGAAGGTCATGATTAAGTAGAAGCACATCACAAATCAGATGGGCCTGAATTAGGCAAGAACAGTGGTTCTCAACCTTTCTAATGCCGCGACCCCATAATACAGTTCCCCATGTTGTGGTGACCCTCAAGCACTTATACATCACCGGGTGCCAGGGGCGTGGCCAAAGAAAAGGGGGAAAAAATGGCGGACAGCCTTGTTTGGCGACCCCCATGAAATGGTCGTTCGACCCCAAATGGGGTCCCGACCTACAGGTTGAGAACCACTGGGCAAGAAGAATAGGTGGCCCTCCAGAGATTGCTGAGCCATTCAGTATCTCCCTCTTGAGAATTGCAATATTAGGGAGGAATTGGGGAATTGTAGGTACTCCTGACAGTTCATAGTTTTTCTGGCTCTGGCATGTGGGTTGCAGAGCAAGTTACCCTTTAGTGTTTTATCCTAAAGGGGGAAAAAAAAGTGTGTGACTGGGTGGGGGAGGAGACCAAGATCTAAAATTCTGATAAGAAATTTAATACCGAGATTAATGTTGCACATGGTGTAACAGAATATCATTACACAGAGAGAGAGAGAGAGATTGTCACTGTCTGTTTTGAGGGCTGGAGCAAGGATTTGTGCAGAGGTGAATGATGACTAAGCAGCTGAGGGTCCCAATTCATACTTCCAGCTTACAGCAGTGGCATGCGTGGCTGTGTGTCTGTGTGGGTGTCTCTCTGTGTGTGTAATGCTCATGCTTTCATCCTAAAAAATCCATCCATTCCCAAATCATGTTGATGAGATAATTTCAGTATGGAAATCATTAGATTTAGATTCTATCTTTAGTTTCTACAACTCAACTTGTCACATATAATGTTTCCACCTCCTATTTTCCTCACACGATCCTTATGAGGTTGTTTGGACTGCAAAGCAGGACCCAGCCTGCTTTCATGACCAAGGGAGGACTAGTCTTCTGGTTTCTAGCCCAGCACTTAGGTAGTATACCAAATTTACTTTCTTTAACTTGAATTGATCGCTAAATAGCAGCAAAAAAATCCCAGAGAACCCTAATTCTTTGGTGACATCTAATGGCAGTCTGAATTTCTGTAGCCCTGTAGCCTTGCTACAAGTTGGTTTCAACCGCAGGAAAGGGTCAGATGAGGATGTTACTTAATTCTCTATTCAGATGGCATACGACGGCGTCATATTCAGCCACAAGATCTTTCTTACCGATTCTTCCCGCATTGTGGGCTATTCCTAGCCCTACGGTCTGTTCCTGGACTTTCCAGTTCTGAAACAGCTGCTTGAACATGGCTGACTCTGCTCCATCATGTACTGTCTCCACATTGGTGCTGGGAGGATAGCTTTTCTTCCTAATAAATTCCTACGGGAACCAGACAAATGGCATAACAACTCTGATTCCACAATATATTAAACTCTGTTCTGCCAAATTAGATAACAGAAGTGAAAATGGGTATTTACTGTATATGAGCATGATTCTGCTGACTTGATTCAATGGAAGTGAGAGTTGTGTGGGTGAGTAAGTCGAATGCCATGGGAATGGAGTATATCTGAAGTGTGTATGATAAAAGAAAGCCTTTTGAGTGGGCGATGAATTAACCTGGATTGAATCCAAATCAGTGATCAGCAGAGGAAAAAAAATCTTTTGAGGTGATTGGGTCGTAAAAAAATAATGATTTAGGACAGCAGGCCGAAGGAAAGAAGATGAAGAAAATTGTGGTTGGACAGAGTTGACAAAACCCTACAAAAATTTTTTTAAAAATAAAAGGGAATACACAAAGGAGAGTATGGATGGGGTGCAAGCAAAGATGGTTTGCCATGAGCAAAAGTTCCATAGAAGTAGAATGAATAGTGACAGTATAAATACCTGTATTTTCTTTCCTTTTCCATATGCTGTATTTTATTTTTGGCTTACTATGTCTTACTTCTTTTCTGCTGTTTGTGTAACACTGCAGATCTCAAAGGGGAAAAGTATGATAGATGCATATGGTTGCCTTTTCTCTCCAGCAATTTTTCTTAGACATATTATCATATCTGGGCTGCAAAACTCCGGACAACCACATGATGGCAACAAAGCTACATAAGATTCTCACTCTGCTGTCTTACAGGGTTGATTCAGAGTTTCCCTGGGCAGATCTGAGCAAATAGTTCACGCATACAGTTGGCCTGCTGAAGATCCTGCTCTATCTAGTGATCACTGTATATATACAACCTGCAAAGGCTTAATAATAATAATGATAATAATTATATATAATTATTAAAAATAATAATAACTGGGAAAACCTACCTAATAATGAAAAATCCAGCAAAAGGGGCAACACCAGGCAACTACAGGCCAATTACCTGCTTACCAACAACTTTCAAATTACTAACTGGTGTGGTAGCTGATGCAGTACAACAGCATCTAGTTGAAAACAATCTCCTTCCACCAGAGCAGAAAGGAAACCGCCCCAATAGCAGAGGAACAAAAGATCAACTCCTAATATACAAAATGATCTTGGAAAACTGCAAGAGAAGGAAGACCAACCTGAATGTGGCATGGATTGACTACAAAAAGGCATTTGACTCTCTGCCACATGATTGGATAATAAAGTGCCTAGAAATAACAGGAGTCAGTAGAAACATCAGAAAATTTGTGCAAAGATCGATGGCACAATGGAAGACACAGTTGCCGATCAATGGTGAGAGACTGGGAGAGGTTAATATCAAGAGAGGAATATTTCAAGGAGATTCATTGTCACCATTACTATTTGTTATTGCACTGTTTCCTCTGTCAACAATACTGAATAACTCAGGACATGGCTATCAAACATCAAAAACATCTACCAGACTATCCCATCTCTTTTACATGGATGATCTGAAGCTGAATGGAAAAACATCATCTGAAATAGAATCGCTGCTCAACACTGTCCATATATATAGTCAAGATATTGTTATGAAGTTTGGCTTGGACAAATGTGCCACACTTACTATCAAACAATGAAAAGTAGTGAAAACTGAAGGAATCAAGATGCCCCACGAACATAACATTAAGAGTCTGGATGAGGAAGATTAGTACAAATACTTGGGTATCCTTCAAGCTGACAACATCAAGCACACTGAAATCAAGAAAAAGATTAGAGGTAAATACATCAAGAGAGTGAAGAAGATCTTAAAGTCCAAACTCAATGGAGGAAATACCATAAAGGCAATCAATACCTGGGCAATTCCAGTCATTAGGTACACAGCTGGAATAGTGGACTGGACTCAAGCAGAACTAAAAGCAATGGATAGGACGACCAGAAAAATAATGACAATGAATCATGCCCTTCATCCACGCAGTGACATTGACAGACTTTATCTACCAAGGCAAATAGGTGGGCGTGGAATGCTACAAGTACATCAGATGGTTGAAGAAGGAAAAATGGCTTTGGAAGAATATCTGAAGAACAATGATGAAGATGCACTGAAATTAGTATATCAGGAAGGCTTACTGACTACTGGAGAGACCAAACTGGCCTACAAGAAAGACCAATGAAGAACAGAATAGAGGCATGGGAAGACAAAGCACTACATGGCCAATACATTAAAAAATAGCTGGGAAAGCAGATATTAACAAGACCTGGCAATGGCTAAGAGCAGGAAAATTGAAGAAAGAGACCGAGGGACTAATTCTGGCTGCACAAGACCAAGCCTTAAGGACAAATGCATATCAAGTCAAAATTGAGAAGACAGCAACAGACAGTAAGTGCCGCCTATGCAAAGAAGCTGAAGAAACAGTAGACCACCTGGTAAGCTGTTGCAAGAAGATTGCACAGACTGACTACAAGCAGCGGCATGACAAAGTAGCAACAATGGTGCATTGGAAGATCTGCAAAAAAATATCATTTGCCTGTAAGCAAAAACTGGTGGGATCATAAAATAGAGAAAGTCATAGAAAATGATAAAATTAAACTGCTATGGGACTTCAGAATTCAAACAGACAAGCACCTGCAACATAACACCACAGACTTAACAATTGTCGATAAGAAAGACAAAAAAGTCTGGATAGTGGACGTGGCAGTGCCTGGTGATAGCAGAATAGAAGAGAAAGAACTGGAGAAGATAACAAAATACAAAGACCTACAAATAGAAATAGAAAGACTGTGGCAAAAGCAAGCAAGGGTAGTACCAATAGTCATAGGCGCCTTGGGTACAATCCCAAAACAACTGGAGCACCACTTGAACACCATTGGCATTGACAAATTCGCTATTAGTCAAATGCAAAAGGCGGCCTTATTAGGAACTGCTTCCATCCTGCGACGATACCTGTAATACCATCAAACATCCACATCTGCCTATCCCAGGTCCTGGGTAAGGACTCGATAGGTAGACAAAATGCCAAATCCAGTCTGAACATCTGGCTGACTGTGCAATGATCCATAGTAATAATAATAGTTGGAAGGGACCTTGGAGGTCATCTAGTCCAACCCCCTGTTCAGGCAGGAAACCCTATACCATTCCAGACAAATGGCTGTCCATTTGTGCTTGTGTTGTTCTATAGAATAGAGCCTGTTGTGAACTAACACTGATCTTAAACACATACAGATGAGTTATAATTCTTTTAAATATTTCACACCACTAGCAACTGGAGCATGTAAGCTTTACTTTGTTAAGAAATCTATTTAGAATCTAATTTTAAAAATAGAGAATTGGGAAGCAGACCGTTGAGTTGGATTGTTCCACCATACCAGGGCTTTTGACATGGCTGTTTGTTTCTCCAGCTTGGTGGCCCCTTTTCCCTTCCAGACATAGATTTTTATCCCACTGTGATCCAGAATGTAGCAATCCTAAGGCCCAAAGGACATCGTTAAGAACACAATATAAATAGTTTAAGTCATTTATTGCAAAAAAGAAGAAGTTCAAATCAGTGCAAAAATGGCTTTCAGTGGCTGCTAATTGGTTTTCCAGTCATCGGGAAACTGATGAAAATTAAGAATCCTAATTTCCTGCCCACACCCCTGACAAACAGACTATAAGAAAATGCCTCTACACGCTTAGGCCATTCATCTACCTGGCTCAGTTCTCCAAGGTTTTAAGGCAGGAGTCTTAGTCTTACCAGAAATCCCTCTTCAGCAAAGGCTGAAGCACAACTAAGGCCCCTCTCTAATGCCAAACTTAAATTGGATAGCAAGCAAAAAATATTTGATATATTTTGTGTGGTAGCAGGATAAGGTCAAGTTTATTGTAGAGAGCAGCAACTGACAGACAAGTGGACAAATATTTCCACTTGTAGCATTCAGGTATCCCCAGCTATATTCACATAACCCACTGAGATATAACTCAGCCAGTCACATTTTAGCCAAGCCCAGGGGTAGGCAACCTCGGCTCTTTTATGACTCTTTTATGACTCAACTCCCAGAATTCCTGAATCCATGAGTCATAAAAGAACCGAGGTTGCCTACCCTTGGCCTAGCCAATTGCGCAAATCTCTGTGTTGTTAATATCCAAGAATATCATTTGGCAGAAAACAGGGCTTTCTGACTAAACTGTGATTAAATTGACCATAGCAAACGCAAACCTATGTCTCCCAAATCTTGTGCCAAAACACTGCCTCGTATGTTTGCCATATGTTTGGATTTTAATCAAATATTTCTAGGGAAATATTGTCAGCAAAAGAATGTAGCGCTTCAATCCACTTTATGTAATAATCCAGCAGGCTACTCTGTTGATCTTTTGGAGCTAAGAAGCTCAATTTAGCACCACCTATTATGTCATGTCAATCTGAGACTTACATTGTGGTTTAATAATTCCTGCCTGAGAGGACGTTTGCCTTCTTCTGTAATTTCTATTTGCCCTCCAGCGTCTGTAACACTAGAAAAGAAGACAAGATTGCTTGGTTGGTTAGTCTGAGTGTTGGAAATGGCAGAATTCCTTAACTATTTCTTTTAAAATTCCTTACAAAGTTGATTCATTCTTTCCAGAGTATCGAGTGTGAAGTTTGATTCTGAGGTCACACAGGTAAATGTAAATTGATTGATTAAGTGTAAATTAACCATTACAAATCAAATACTTATATCAATACCTCCCATTTCAAAAGAGACAATTACCATTTCATCTCTAATGCAGGGACCAACTGAGTTACTATAAATAACTGATGTATAAGCACGTGTGAATCCATCCAGAGAGATGTTGCTGCTCCTTTTCTGTTTTAATATCTTGGTATTTAGTTCCTGATTGTATTAACTATGATCTGGCACGGTGGGATGATTTGTGAATGTTCAGCAAGTATATATCCCTGACCTAGAGCAAAAATGTGTGTTGTTACAACCTGACTATAATTTTACAAATTTAAAATCTGTATTTAAAATAAAAAAAATTCTAGGAAAATAGCAACCTATCAAGTAAGTAGTATCAGTGAAGAAGTTCCAATAAACTTCAGAGATAGTTTCAAAGATAACTACAGTAGCTTCACAGATAGTTTTGGTTTTGAAACCATTCACAGATCTACAAATTTGCTTTATTTCATCAAGGTTTATTTTACCAAGATTGACATACTTATTCCAGCTTTTCTTGCCTGGCTGGCATTAATCTATCTCTACCATCACCCTGCATGTTAGCTCTACTTTCCTTCCCTTCTTTTGCCATCTATTTCATTCTTCCTCTCTCCTTGCCTTGACACACCAAATACTACAGGTCTCCATGCAAGGTCCTCCAGTTTCCCCCAAATCTCATTTTCCTTTCCTTTTCAAAGTGTTGTTGAAAATTGAAGTTGGCAATTTTTGTATTCTTCCAATCCAGCTCCATCTATGAGTACTATAAAATCTTTTCAATGGAAGTATCATTTATATTCATAGTCAAGCCTAGTTGTGCAACGGCTGCATCAATAACACCTATGACAGTGATGGTGAATCTTTTAGAGACCGAGTGCTCAAACTGCAACCCAAAATCCACTTATGTATCATCGGGTGCTGGGTGGGTGTGGCCTATTGGGTAGGTGTGACCCATTGGTGGGCGTGGCTGCAAGGGTAACGGTGGACTGGGTGGGACTAAAAAGTTCAATCAATCAATTCCAACTTTGCAAGATCTTTTTTTTCCCGTGAGAAGTTGAAATTGACTGATTGATTGAACCTTTTTTTTTTTTTTTGCGCACGGCGGTGGAGGCCTAAAGCGAAAAGGTTTTATAAAACCCAGCTGAAGGCTAGGACTGGGGCGACAGCGTGTGTGCTCACAGAAAGGGCTCTGCATGCCGCCTCTGGCACCCGTGCCATAGGTTCGCCACCACTGACCTATGGTCAAGTCTTGGCCACGAGTAAAAACTTTTCAACACACCAATAGAGGAAGAGGCTGGCCTTCAGCTGTTGATCCACCATCTCATCAGAAACGGCAGGTTCAATTTCGTGAGTCCTTTCTCCCAGCTCACTCTCCAACACCTTCATCAAATCTGAACTGGCTTCTTCATCATCACCCTCTATGACCCCAATTTCAGCACGGCCTCCACGTTCTCTGTCACGGATATCTTGGGCAAGAAGCATAGCCTAATAAAGAAAGAAGGGACGTGGGAAGTTGCCTCGTATACAATTGGACCATTGGCCAGTCTAGTTCAGTTCAGTGGATCTTGGGTGGCATTGATTCTCTATTCCACTGGCTGAGGAATTCTGGGACTTGAAGTCCACAAGTCATAAAAGGGCCAAGTTTGAAGACCCCTGCTCTATGTACTGTATTAGGAAATTTATTTATTTATTATTTGTCAAAGTTATAGGGGCCAGCCATCTCACCCTAAATGACTGTACAGTAAAACCAAGAATTAAAACATTTTGTAAACCCATTAAAAATATAAACACTGATAAAGAAGGCCTTGAGAGGAAATATGTTTACATGCAATATAACCAGCATGCAGCTTTCCTATTATCAGGAGATTCCCAGGCTTGCTGAAAACGAACACATTTTTGAGAACTTTATGGAAGGCCATAAGGGATGGGGCTAACCTCACCACAGGAAAGATTATGTATAAGAAGGTGAATGTCATGGCAGAAAAGGCCACTCCCTAGACCCTGTCAGATGGAACACCTTTGCAGACAGGACCCACCACACGTCTCTCTGCAGACCTGATGAGACTGGTAGATGTCCCTCAGGGAAGAGATGGTCTTTCAGATAACCTCAAATTGTCTCTGCCTTTTCTGAAGTTGCTAGGGATGGAACCCAAGACCTTTTGCATGCTAACCATACACTCTTCCTCTGAGTAATGCTTGCCATGGTGTTACCATAAGCAGATATAGCTCATTTCATAACTTCTTTTAGCTCTCTGTGGCATCATGTACACCACAGATACACAAGATGGAGCTCTAGCGATCCATGTAGCTGCAAAGGCCTTAAGTATAATCCCCCCCCCCCCAAAAAAAACACTAAATAGAAGGGAATATTTATAGCTCAGGGTTGAAATGTGGGGTCCTTGTTATTCTCTGAGTTTTGTTGTTTTCTTGCAGATGTTTCATTACCATACTAGGCACTGATGATGTTACCTAATTTGGTAATGAAACATCTGCAAGAAAACCACCAAGCTCAGAGGGCACCAAGGACTAAATGCTGCCCCTAAAATCTTCATTTGCATGCAGTAAGAGAGAGAAATGGTTAAACACATGAAAATTAATCTTCATAAGGACATTGATTTAATTTATATTAACATGATAGGAAATGATTTCATTAAATATTAAATTTAGTTTTCGGTCTGGAACAACCCCATTTTTTTATCCTTGCAATTTCTGGATTTGGAATAAGGTCTCCAGCTCAAAGAAAGTTCTATATCTCACATCCACAGAAGCGGATACATTAAAACAACCTATGTTCGTGATGCTATTGGAACAAATATAACAAAGGAGTGTTTGCCTTCCAACTGTCTTACATTTTTTTTTTCTCTTTTCTCTGAGGGAAGAATCTTTGGCAATCGAATTCTTTTCTTCTCTACTCCGTGGCCAATAGGACCTTAAGAAGGGACAGATCTGACCCAGGGACAACAGGAGCAAAGAGAAAGTTTTGCAAAATTCCCACGTGTCATAGACTCTCAGAGGAGAAGAAGTTCCCCAATCCAAGCCATCCTGCTACTCTTTGGGTCGGCGGTAAAACAATACCTTCAGCCGCTCCTGCTTGTTGCTTTCCGGGCCATTCCACTGGACAATGATTTTACCCAGATCTAAGAGGAACACGTCACCAAGGTTAAAGCTGTCCCAGCTTATCTCCACCTGCAGATGAGAAGCGTGCAAGAGCAGGCAGAGAATGATCAAGAGAGGCAGTCAATCATAGTGTGTGGCTTATGTGAAATGTAGGAATCAAACCATGGTTGGGGCTCAGGCTCACCTCTCTGGCCATAATGTTCCTTTTTCCTTTGACGTGTAGAAGCCGCTTGACGTGGTAGACATTGGTCTCTGTATGGCTGAAGCCAGATGCCCAGCCTCCTTTCTTGTAACTGTCCAAGTTAAAGGGAAAGGATACGATAGCCAGACAAAGTGCATAACAGTTACTGAGGGTTAAGAATACTCAATTTTGATTTCATGCTAAAGAGGGCTAAAGACGGCCCTTAGAGATTTATACAACTAATATCACCTGTGTGCATGAGGCTTTGTGGCTAATGGTTTCAGGGGAATTCAGGAGACTGCAGTGACTGGGAACGGAGGAAGTGGAGATGGGGTAGAGATCAGGAACCAGTATAGTTTTCTGTCAATTCCACCAGTAAAGTTTTCTGTCAATTGCTGTCCAGGATGGGTAGAGGGTGTTTCAAGTCCACAGTGGGAAAGCCTGTTTTTAAATACCTACTGTGGCTTGACTATCTCCATCTAGTGGTTAGATTAAGTAATGCATGTCCCTTGAACTTGGGCTCCCAGATATTTCTAATAAAAAGCAAAAGGGCATATTGTGGGAAGAAAACGATTATTCGCAATATCAGCACTTCAAAGTATCATTCAGCAATTTGATGGTGTGAAATGCCGTAACTGACATTGAAGCAAATACCCCAGCCATCATTGTGCACACAGACACACATCATATTCACCACTAAAGAAAGCCTACCCCCCCACCCCCCATGGCCTTCTTCTTAAATGACCTTCCCAGCCTTTTGGCAAAGATCAAGATACTCACATGACCCCTTTCTTAAAGTAGCCCTTGAAGAGCTGAGATTCATAGTCTTGCACCTCCCGGTGCTGCACTGGGACTCCACCAAGATAGTCATCCAGTTGGATGGTATAAATGGCAGCAGAGCCCTGTTCATCTTGTGAGGAGCACCTTCCAATCCAGTAGTGAACATCATAGGAGAGGACGCTGCCTGATTTACGGGTCTGCAGGTAGGATAAAGGTTATGAGGCACATAAAGCCGATCGAAGCTGAATACGTGGTGATTGTAAAAAACTGGGGTACCCATACCTTTTATATTCCTTCAAAATAAATAAATAAAATATCTCAGTATCTGGGATGTTTCCATCTTAGTATTCCTATGAGTTTGTACTAAAAGTCCAAATATATATATTTTTTAATCCTAGTGGTACATCAGTATTACTGCTAGAGAACTCAATGGCAGAACTTTATTTGCAGATTATCTGAGGTTCAAACTCCAAGTTTAAAGCATGTTTCTCAACCTTGGCAGCTTGAAGATGTATGGACGTCAACTCCCAGAATTCCCCAACCAGTTGAGAGTCGAAGTCTACACATCTTCTGGCTGCCAAAGTTGAGAAATACCTCTCTAAAGGTTGAAGAACTATCAGCTGTAGAAAGTAAAGACCTCCTTTGCTGCGCTTGTCAAGTTTCGAAGCACGGTTTTACTGGTGTGACAATTATCGCTTCTCAGCTTGTCAATTAACTTGGGGAGGAGGGAAAAGGATTGGAATGCAGACTTCAAAAATCAAGAAGCCAGAACGTGAGAATCAAGGACAGAGCACCAAGTATCTGGTCAGACCCAGTGACACTTTCTCATAACAATATTTTTCCGCTTAATTGAGCAACGTGACCTGACCAAGAGGGATGAGGGAGAATTCCATACTTTTACTATATGGGGTTGGGTGGGGTCTTGCCAGAACTGGTTTTACTTTCATACGTGTCGAAAAGATGTACTCAATAAAGTTTTACATTGAGAGATTGGAATGTCTCAAAGATGTTTGATTGGTTGGATTTGTCAGTCGGAAGTGTGATAGTGCTCTTCAATGCCAGTTCTAGCAATCAGTTCAGGAATTGGCTCATTTGTCTTCTTCTTCTGATGTTATTCAGTTACAATACATGTGGCAAAATGCTCATATCCATCTGACACTGTAATATTTGGTGTTTGGCCTATGATTAGTATTGTTTTTTGAGTATCTGGCATATTGAATCAAATACAAAAAAGTTATATTATACAGAAATGCATCATAGCCAACTTCCAAGCTACTTACTGAAAGGAGAACATAGCAGTCGCCTTCATAGAAGCTGCCATGAGTTTTTGGAGGCACCAATACTAGATCCATATTCTGGAAAGAAGAACATACCATTAAAAGATGTGTCCATGGCTTCACTCAAGATCTTGGCCCATTGGGTCTCTGTCCAACCTCTCCAATCTAAAAGTATCCTTCCTTGGGCTGTTGGTTTGATCTCTGAGATTGGTGATTTGGCTGCAAATGTTTCATCTCCATTCAGAGGGACATCTTCAGTGCGATTTTAATTGTGCTCGTCTGTCAGAGCACTGGCTTTTAAATACCTTTTTGGGTGATGTAAATTGGTGTGGTGTTATTTGTCTGGATGTTTCTGAGTCATGGTCTGGTTTCGGGCTGTTTGATTGGCTGGTTGTTATTGCTGGGCCACAGTTTTTGGTGTTTAAGTATGTGTGATGCAAATGGTGTTTGTTTGTTTAGTTGTCTCTGAGTCATGGTCTGTTTTTGGGTTGTTCGACTGGCTGTCTGTTGTTGAGACGTGGTCCGGTTTCTTGTGGGTGTGTGGGTGTGATTTTTGTTGCTGTGTGGTGGGGTTCTCGTTGTTTGTTTTATATGCTGCCTTCAGGATTGATTCGTTCTCAGCGGTTGGTAAATTAGGTCGATGTTAATGTGTCTGTTTATTGACTTATTGGTGGACAACCCTCATTCCTGATGCCAATCAGTGTATTCAGGGCAGCTTCCTTCTACTGTAATTAAGTGTGTACTAGACTTACATTTCTGTTGCTTACTTTGGCTTTAATTGTCTAGTTAAGGAATGCTCAGAAAGTATAGAGTGGCATTTACTGATAGACATCTTTAAAGTTTTCAATAAATTGCAAAGGTTTCACTGCAATGACATACAATAAGAACAGCCACTTCAAAGCTATTCCCATCCCATCTGGTACAGAAGTTGTACAGGTAGTCCTTGATTTTCAACCACAATTGAGATCAAAATTCTTGTTGCTAAGTGAGACAGTTGTTAAGTTTGTTTTGCCCCACTTTGCGACCTTTCTTGCCACAGTTGTTAAGTGAATCACTGCACTCGCAAAAGGTCATCACACGACCCTGGGACGCTGCAACCATCATAAATATGAGTCAATTGCCGAGCGTCTGAATTTTGATCACATGACCGTGGGGATCCTGCAATGGTCTTAGGTCACTTTTTTCAGTGCCATTGTAACTTTGGACGGTTACTAAATGAACAGTTGTAAGTCAAGGACTACCAGTACTGATAAATTCTGCATCCAAAATCAAATATGGGTGCCTTAGGTTAGTTCTTTGGCTCTGGCTACAGTCAGATGCTGTAGAAAGGTAGACCTTTTGTAGAAAAATGTGACTTTTTTGTTTTCATTTCATCCTAAAATGCCAGATGGGAAAAAGGGAAAGAGGTCAGTGACTGACATATTTATGTTCTTAAGCTAGGAATATTTCATCACATATTCTCTAATTTGGGGAGAGAGGTGTTGAATTGCCTGCAAAAGTCATCTAATTCTGTTCAAAAACATAAGCACCCTGAATCTTTTACATTCGATTTTAAAAGAAGCTGACTACAAAACCCTTGTGCCTACTTTATACATATTTTGCCAAGGTGGAGTTTTAAAAATAGTATTTTATAGAGTCTGCTATTTTCATAAACTTTATTTATCAAACAGTGGGGGGGGGAAGAGTACATTTAACTCAGATTTAATCTCAGACACATCAGATATCCTCCAGGTGAATAAACCGGCCCATAGACCAATCGTATGATTTTATAAAATACCTTTTACAATCTAGCTAGGATTGTCACTTCCTAGATGTCAGGTTCTAAAGAGGCCCAACATGGAACGAAATGGTGAACATTCAACAGTGAATCTGGAAGAAGAAAGAAACCTTCAAATGAACATGGCAAGAGCTGCATTCATCCCACCTCAACTCTCCAGATGATCAGTCCAGGCATATTGGTTACAGCCTTGAAGGCGTTGGTCAGGGCCATGCTGTCTTCCAGTCTTTGGAATATCCACAACCTGCCAAGCAAGAACAAGGATATCTTCTTTAGCATCCTCATGAAACCACTGAGAGAGATCATCCATCGAATGAGCATTATCAATCACAGATCATCTGCAAAGGCCTGTCTTCACTCCAGGCTCCCCATCCTGCACTTTTTGGTTTGGAGAACATGCTACAAGTAGTCATCCCTAGAGAGTTTGGTGGGGTTAAGACCTATGGAGTAGTGCAAGGGTCTGCAACCTTGACAACTTTAAGACTTGTGGACTTCAGCTCCCAGAATTCCTCAGCCAGCTATGCTATGCTGGCTGAGGAATTCTGGGAGCTGAAGTCCACAAGTCTTAAAGTTGTCAAGGTTGCAGACCCTTGGAGTAGCGTCTTCAGTGGCAGTCCCTCATGTTGGAATAACTTGCACCTGGAGGACCAGTCAGCTCCCGCCCTTTTATTTTATTTTTTAAGGAACAATTGAAGAAGTCTCTCTTTCATGGGTCTTTTGCCGAATTGAGTTTTATGGAAGCAACATTTTTTTAAATGATTTTATATTTGTAACCTTTTAGGCTTTATGGATGTATTTAATGTATTGTTGTAAGCCACCTACAGTCATCCAAAGGCAGCATATAAATAATAGCAATAAATAAATAGTTCAGCCCCCTGCGGCCTTCCAAAGGACATACAGGCTAGCACGTCTTTCAGAGCAATATTCAAAAGCTGTCACTTTGCATTGTTAAACACATGAGTTCCAGTCTCTTCTGACAGACACAAGATCATAGTTTGTGAAGTGCATAATGAGTTTATAATAACAACTGTCACCATGATTATTAATAATGTTTGACAGTAGTTTGCTTTTTATAATAAATCTGAACATTGCTATTTTGGGATATGTAACAATTTCATTACAGTGACCATTATTTAATATAACAGCAAACCACTAGAGGGCATTCTTGCTGTGCGTGTTTTAACCAGGGGATCCCCAGGCTTGTGGGCCCACCCTTAAATTCATCTTCCCAACTTCAGTTCAGGAAAACATGCATCCGAAGTGCACACATTTCTCCTTGCGTGTCAATTTTTTGCAAGGAAATTTTCCCCAATGTAAATACAATTTGGGATGCACTTTTATTCACTTATTAAAATGAACCCGCAGTGTGACGTGCCCTTCTTTCAATTGGAATTGCCTAGTAAATTCTGAAAGATGGGGATTTCAGCCTGCGAGGGAGTGCATTCTGGAGACTGCCTGCCTGAGGGTTCAAGAGGGCAAATTGAAATCCAAACGAACTGAATTTTGTCCTCTACCTGTTTCTAAGTGGCTCTCTACAAAAACTCCTAAGTTCTCACAAGGGACAAAGAGGAAAAATTTTTTACAATCTTATGGGCTTTCCACTTACATTTTAGGCGGGTAATAAGAAAGACACTCTTCATATATATTATTGTTAATTATCTTATAAGCTTAGGTAATGTATTTAGATTTATTAATGGTTTATATTTTTTTAATTTTTTTTAAGATTTTTAGAAATTTTAATCAAGCCTATATTCAGCTCTGGGAAGGTGGAGGGGATGGACTGGGAGGGTTGGGATGGTTGGGTAGGGTTGTTTTTTGTTTTATATTTTTTTTTCCTTATTTGTAAAAACTTTTAAAAATTTTCAATAAAAAAAAGAAAGACACTCTTGAGAGAAGCAGGGTGCTGGTGACTCTAAGAACACTTTTTGTGGGTGGTGGTGCTGGGAAGAATGCAGAAGTGGTCTGCCCTTGCCTCCTCCTTAGGGTTGAGAGGGAGTGACCGGCCCAGGGTCACCTTCATGCCTAAGGTAGAGTAGAACTCATGGTTTCCTGGTTTCTAGCCTGCTGCCTTAACCATTACACCAAACTGCCTCTACCATTGAGTTTAGATGACTATATACTGTAATGGTGAATCTATGACATGCATGTCATAGGTGAAACACCATGAGGTTTGGGTGGCCTGCCAGCATTCACCAACGCCCAGCAATAACTATTCTTAAAAGCGTGCCCTGTTCTTGTGCAATTTTCAGAGACTACGGAGTTGTGCAAGAATGAGGTATAGCACCACTATTTTTTAAAGAATAAATGAATATGTAAACAATTGTTTCTCTATTGTTCACAGAGTGGGCACCGTTCAGACGCTAGCAGAGTTCAGTTAAGCATTAACTTAAATTTTGATACACCAAGCTCCAAAGAGTGCATTTGTTTTTAGGAGTTGTAGAAAAGGATATACAGCAGGGGTCTTCAAACTTGGCCCTTTTATGGCTTGTGGATTTCAACTCCCAGAATTCCTCATCCAGGCATGCTGGCTGAGGAATTCTGGGAGTTGAAGTCCACAAGCCATAAAAGGGCCAAGTTTGAAGACTCCTGATATGCAGTATAGAATCTATTGGAATGGTCTAGCTTCCATCAAATTCTCAGAACAGAGATACAGATGTTATATCATGTCATCCTCTGGTACATGATGTTTCACATGATTTCCACTTCCCCTTTTGAGGGGGGAGGCCAGGCGATTTCTCTATTTTTATACACTGTATATCTTCCCATAATGTAACATATGGACCTCTAGAAGATAATATTTGTGGGTCAGGGTTGAACTGATGCTCTCTGATCTTGATAGTTTTCTTGCAGATGTTTCATTAAATGGGAAGCCCCCCCCTTTCCAGAATAAAATACTGTAGAGAATATTAACCTTGTGAACTCTCAAGCTTCCTGCTTCCGTTACATATTCAAGATGGACAGTATTTAATATTTATTTTCTATGTATGTGTAGGGATGTGGGTCTATACATATGTTGTTCATAGTATGTTTAGGTGTGTGTTATGTATGTGTTTCACTTTGAGAGCGGGCAACTAAATTTCATTTTTGATGGGTGCCGTTGTGCCCACAGTAAAAAAAAATGACAATAAAAATTATCTTATCTTCTTATCTTATCTTATCTTATCTTATCTTATTTTATCTTACCTTATCTTATCCCATCGCATCCCATCCCATCTCATCTCATCTCATCTCATCTCATCTCATCTCATCTCATCTCATCTCATTAGAAGAGGCAGAATAGAATATTTCTCCTAAAGGAGAAGAGAAGGAAAATCTCCTTAACAAAGGCAGAAAGCCACCCCCAGCCCTTCTACTATAGCAAAACAGCCTCAAGCAGAAGCCTGAAGAGGCTCGCTAGACTTTAGGAATGGATATTTTGTATCCATTCATAAAGCCAGGCCACTCTATTCATAAACAAAGGGCACCCAGAAGCTCCAAATAAACAGCACAATAGGCAAGGAAACTGACAGGATTAGCTCAAACAAACAAAACACCTAGGATTTGCATTTCCCTTTTTTGCCTATAGAGCCAGTCATGACCCCTACACGACCCCATAGGAATCTGGCAACAGCCATTAAAATATTAAAGAACACAGTCTTGCACAGGAACAGGCATCTCAATCACAAAGCTCCAAAATTGTATAAAAGCCCATCTATCCTCAGCCCCAATTTGTCAGCCACCCCAGAAACAGGCTGCTATCATGGTCGTTTCTGGATTTGGCACATGATGGGAATCCAAGCTAACCTGACCGATGGACCTGGCCGAGGTAAGCCTCCACCTTGCTGGCAGCAGACCCCCTTGTGTCTGTGTGTGGGTTTCCCAGACCTTGCCCATTTGGAGCAAGGGTAGTAAAGGGAGTTTTGAGCCTTGTGCTGAATGGCTGCTTGGAAAGGAGACGAGTTCCTCTAAATTTTAACTTTGGAGGCCTCAGGAGAGTGAGGGATATATGTGCATGTGTGAGTGTGAATGAAAGGGTCCCTTTCCCCAACCATAGCTGGATCCCACACTCTCCGTGCTATTCCTAATTGCACCCAGGCTATCCTAGTCCCACAGGACCATGACCAACAGACCCTGGAAAGCAAAGGGGGTTGGTTGGACCGTGGGACCTTCTGTAAGGAAAAAGGAAGCTGTGTGAAGGAAGAACGGGGCATGAGTGAGAGGCTCGCAGGTCAGAGGCAACTGACCTGAAATCACTGAGCAAAGTCCTGCCCTAGGAAGGAGGTGCCCATACTAGTGCTAAGGGAAGCAGAGGTCCTTCCAGACTCTCCTGGGTCGAAAACCACGAGGCAGGTTGTGGAAGGAGGGGCACATACTACTGCTAGGGCAGTGGTTCTCAACCTGTGGGTCGGGACCCCATTTGGGGTCAAACGACCATTTCACGGGGGTCGCCAAACAACGCAGTCCACCATTTTTTCCCCTTTTCCTTAGCTGTGCTACTCCCTTTTGTTCTATTGGCTTTTGAAAGCCAATAGAATAGACTCTCTTGAATAGAGTCTAATTCTATTGGCTTTCAAAAGCCAATAGGAATTGTCCAGGCTGTCTCTGCCCTGCTGAGCCCGCCAAAAGTCCCATTCTGCAAACGGTGCTGCACCAGTTGAGTAGTCCTTGATTTACGACCGGCTGAGTAGTCCTTGGCTTACAACCGGTTGGGGGTCGCGGCATTAAAAAGGTTGAGAACCACTGTGCTAGGGGAAGCAGAGGTCCTCCCAGACCCCATTTTGGTCAGAAAACTGGCAGGTGTTCCTTAGGTACGAGGAACCCATACTCTGAAAGGGGAACCAGAGTCCTCCCAAACCTCTTTTTTTGGTCTGAAAACTGACAGGCAGGGCAGGAAGCTTATAAAGAAGCTTGACCACAAGGGAGACCCGGCGGAGCCGAATAAATGTCAACATAAGAATTAGAGTCCCGAAGTGCTTTTTTTTTTTTCATGAGGCAACTAGACTTTCTTGTTTTTCTTTGAAGATGTTTCACTTCTCATCCAAGAAGCTTCTTCAGCTCTCAGCTCTTCTTGGATGAGAAGCAAAATGGCTTCAAAGAAAAACAAGAAAGTCCAGTTGCCTCATGAAAAAAAAGAGCACTTTGGGGGCAACCATGACCTGTATGACTGAGAACCTCCCTAGATAAGAATTAGAGAGGCTTGGGAAGCTCCAGCTCAAGGGTCTTGCCAGGATCCCAACTAGGAGACTTGCCCAATGCTTGGGATGA